ATGTATGACATAATTTGCCTAGGGATGGAAACTAGGAAGTAATTAAAGACATGTAAAAAAAAGTTTAAAACAAGTAATACTACTTGTATACAAGTGATACTTTTCTATCTATTTACTAATGCTAGCAGCATAGGGATTAAAAATCATCAATGTTGATTAAGAGAGTGGCGTTTTCACTTTACGTCTGATGCTTCTGGGAAAAACTCTTCTCCAGGTCATTTATATACATTGGGAGAATTGTGGCAAACTTTATAACTGTTTATTCTCATTCTGTTCCGTTGAATCTAATACAATAACTTCCTATTTCCTGAGCGATGTGTAGGAGGGTCTGTTTTAGTGATATAATCAGTCCCGGGGTTGTAATAAGAGAAGAATGTCTGTCTGGGAACAGCAGTGAGTCAATTTACAGGAGCAGGAAATGTCATCTCCATGTACAGTGTACCCCCCAATAATGGTATGGATGGCATGGTTACAGGAAACCTCTTCAGATTTTTGGGCAAATTTTACAAAATCTTAGCTGCTGATTTAAATAGAACGTCAAGTTTTATTCACATTAAAACAACTCTTTTGACATAAAAGAAAAAAAAATAAAACTTTGTTTTAGCTTTTACAAGAGCAAAATGTGTATAGCAAGCCTTTATTAACCGCTTCCCATCCACCCTATAGCAGAAGTACTGCTACAGGGTGGCACGGGTGCGCCAAATCACGTGATATTGCATTTCTGGGTAGGGGGTACGTGAGCCCTACCTGTGCCACCATTTGCATCCTCAGCTGTCAATCACCGGGTCCCGGACGGTGATTACTTGCTGTCACCCAGTGATTGACAAGCATCTCCAAAGGGGGGGGGGGGGGGACTGTTTTTGTAAACAAAATAGTTCTCTCCCCTGTCAGCTCCTGCACACTGCTTTGCATGGCTGTGCATTACAGTTCAGCACAAACACCCATGCCACCATTCGCGGCCTCAGCTGTCAATCACCGTGTCCTGGCTGGTGATTACTCGCTGGCACCTGGGGATCGCAGAGTATTACCGACGGGGGAGAGAACTGTATGTAAACAATACAGTTCTCTCCCCCTCCTGCACACTACATATCAGAGCCATACAAAGCAGTGTGCTTACAGTTGAAAGCACACACAGCACATAATACAGTTAAGCCTTTGATCACCCCAGATGTTAACCCCTTCCTGCCCAGTGCCATTAGTACAGTGTCAGTGCTTTTTATTAGCACTGATCACTGTATTGGTGTCACTGGGGATGTCAGTGACACCAAGTCAGTTCCCCTCAGTATCAGAATGCCCGCCGCAGACCTGCTATTAGTCGCTGATGAATGGGTTCAAATTACACTGAACTGCCCTGCATGTGAATGCTAAGTGCATTCATGTGCAATTCCTGGTGTGAACCAGCCCCAAGTGTGTGTACAGAAGTTCCATGCAATCTGGTCGCAGTGCATTTTTTATTTTTTAAAAGTAGTGCATGCACTGCTTTTTAGTGTGATTCAGCCCATTCAAAATGAATGGGTTCAAATCGCACCGGATTGCCATGCATGTGAATGCTAAGCGTGTTCATGTGCGATTCCTGGTGTGAACCAGCCCCAAGTATGTGTACAGAAGTTCCATGCAATCTGATCACAGTGCGTTTTTTTTTTTTTTTTTTTTTTTTTTAAGTAGCGCATGCACTACTTTTGCTGTGATTCAGCCCATTCAAAATGAATGGGTTCAAATTGCACCGGACTTCCCTGCATGTGAATGCTAAGCGCATTCATGTGCAATTCCTGGTGTGAACCAGGCCCAAGTGTGTGTACAGAAGTTCCATGCAATCTGATCACAGTGCGTTTTTTTTTTTTTTTTTTTTTAAGTAGCGCATGCACTACTTTTGCTGTGATTCAGCCCATTCAAAATGAATGGGTTCAAATTGCACCGGACTTCCCTGCATGTGAATGCTAAGCGCATTCATGTGCATTCCTGGTGTGAACCAGGCCCAAGTGTGTGTACAGAAGTTCCATGCAATCTGGTCGCAGTGCGTTTTTTTTTTTTTTTAAAGTAGTGAATGCACTACTTTTGGTGCGATTCAGCCCATTCAAAATGAATGGTCTCAAATCGCACTGGATTGCCCTGCATGTGAATCGCACAGGAATGCTAAGCGCGTTCATGTGCGATTCCTGGTGTGTACCAGCCCCAAATGTGTGCAGCCTGCAGGATGCGGTATTTTTCTCTGATCTTCAGCAGACAATCTTTCAAGTGATATTGCTTACTGCTGTTATGGGAACAGATACATTTGTGTAATAGGATGATTAGCACTTTGTGTGTATTGTTTGCTGCATTTCCAGTTATCACATGCACTATAACAACCAATGACAGCAGGTGGCAGCACAAGCCCAGGAATGCCAGCAAACGTTGCTATTCCAAAAATTAAAAAAAAAAAATTAAAAAATAACATACCTGAGTGATGCTTTCTGTAGTGTTTTATTTTTTGGAACACTTGGTATGATATTTCAGAATAATTTTATATGTATTTATTGATTTATTTCAGGTACTTATATAGCACCATCCATTTACACAGCACTTTACATAAATATATTGTACATTCAGATCAGTATGTGTGTCTTCTCTCCCTCTGTTATCTCACAGACCTATAAGACCCCTTGCACATGGCAAAAATGTGCCAGCTGCGACAAGATAGTTGCAGCCACTGGGCCAATTTAAAGCAAAGACAGGCTGACTTCCGCAGCATCTTGAAGCCATTGCCTATGGGTAGGGACAGATGATCGCCCCTGGAGGCAATGTGAGCCATTTAGAGTAAGCTATATCGATCGACCGACTTCAGTACAACCACCCTGTCCATACATGGATCAAAATTCGTCCAGTTCCTGCTTGTACACTGCGGGTGTGTTTATAAAAAAAAAGGCATATGCCAGCTATTTGTCCGGCAACACTGTGTATATTTGTTCTTTTCAAATGGGGAAAAATTGCATATTCTACGATTTCCTCTGCAGGTCCAATGTTCATAAAAAAAATTGCAAAATATGAATAGGAAAATATTGCATAAAAAAAAAAACGTATCTCCTATGATGATCAGTTGCATCTAGTGACTATATTGTGATGATCAGTTGCATCTAGTGACCATATTGTTTGATCAGTTGCATCTAGTGACTATATTGTGATGGTCAGTTGCATCTAGTGACCATATTGTGATGGTCAGTTGCATCTAGTGACCATATACAGTTGCATCTAGTGACCGTATTGTGATGGTCAGTTGATCTAGTGACCGTATTGTGATGGTCAGTTGCATCTAGTGACCATATTGTGATGATCAGTTGCATCTAGTGACCATATTGTTTGATCAGTTGCATCTAGTGACTATATTGTGATGGTCAGTTGCATCTAGTGACCATATTGTGATGGTCAGTTGCATCTAGTGACCATATACAGTTGCATCTAGTGACCGTATATTGTGATGGTCAGTTGCATCTAGTGACCATATTTGTGATGATCAGTTGCATCTAGTGACCATATTGTGATGATCAGTTGCATCTATGTGACCATATACAGTTGCATCTAGTGACCATATTGTGATGATCAGTTGCATCTAGTGACCATATTCTGATGATCAGTTGCATCTAGTGACCATATTCTGATTCAGTTGCATCTAGTGACCATATTGTGATGGTCAGCTGCATCTAGTGACCATATTCTGATGATCAGTTGCATCTAGTGACCATGCATCTAAGTGACCATATTGTGAGTGATCAGCTGTATCTAGTGACCATATTCTGTAATGGTCAGTTGCATCTAGTGACCATATACAGTTGATAGTCATTTAATGGCAGTTCATCTAGTGACCATATACAGTTGCATCTAGTGACCATATTGTGATGATCAGTTGCATCTAGTGACCATATTATTCCCAATTGACGCTTTATTTATGAATGAATAACATTTGACCATTTTGCTCCATTTACCAATAATGAATATACCAGCAGTTTTGCTGGGCGAATAGCTATTTAATTTTTATTTTTATTATACTATACAGTCAGATTGTACAATCTCCATGCAGCCTTTTTTTTGTGATTTGATTTCACTAGTGTAATTTCTCCTGCGTCTGCTAATGCGCTGCCATGCATGACACTGAAAATCACATTACTCACTATGGTGTCTGTTCTCGTCAGTGAAACATGGTGTGGTGCGATTTTTTTTTTTTTTTTTTTTTTTTTTTTTTTTAAAGGCGTTGGTGTTTCTTTTGGTGCAGCATAGTGCATTTTGGCCCTATAGACTTCACTGGGGGCACATGAAAAATTGCATGTAAAATAATGTAAAACATGGGTACATATGGTTTTTGGTGCGGCTTTTTTTTTTTTTTTTATGTTTTGTTTTTTTAGTTTTGTGTAAAAAAAAAAAAAAAAAAAAAAACAAAGTCTCCACCTCTACTACAAATAATGCACAAAAAACTAAAAACTAAAAATGTTATATGAGGACAAAACTATGCAATCTATTCAGTTAGTATCCAATCAGCCAACGTAGTTGTTGGCATGTTCAGCTTTAGGCTCAATTCACTAAGGTGAAACAGGATAAGGGTCTTTATTTTCCAAAAAGTGAAATTTTTAGCTGACTTTGGTGAAATTTGAAACTTATAGTCATATGGCTGAAAATAAAGATTGTTGCCAGTGAGAGAATCACAAATATGACATGGTCCTGTCACTGGCAAAAACTCGGCGGCTTTTACAGCGTTACCTCTCACTGGCCTGATGAGCAAGGAGTTGCTTCCTTGCTAAGGCAAATACTGTAGAATGTTACTTGCCAGTAAAGGAGCGACGACTTGTTTATCCTTGCAGCGAGGGAGCAACACCGTGGAAGCAGATGAGGATTTCTGTGCAGTGTACAAAAGGATTGCAGCATCATGTAACATCATCTTTTGTGAATTGGGTCTCATTCAGACCAGAACTCTGATCCAGTTATTCACTTCTTTCTGACTGTATTATTACATATACTGTTCTTTCTGTCTAGAGATGGCATCTGTTAACAAAAACGGGAGCAGCTCACGTTTGCAAAGTCGGAAGCCACCTCATCTTTCCATCACCATCCCTCCCACTGAAGGCGCCGGAGATGCTAAACAGACTCGGGTATGAGAGCAATAACGAACATCTGTTATGTAAAAAGTATAGTCCAATCTGATTAAAACATATGTGGAACACTGCATACTTTTTATCTGCCATGCTAGATGTACTCTTATTTATTAACTGCTTGCTAACTGCACACTGTATATATACAGTGCGGGCCCGCTGCGCCCCATACACGTACGTGATCCAGTATTTTGAGGTAGAGGGCTCGTGCCCACCACCCCGGCTGTGTTATTCGATACAGCACAAGCCGATGATTTATGGCCAGGACCCGCTCATCGGCTTAGCTAATGACAGAAGAGATGCTTGTGTTGGTAAACAACACAGGGCTCTCTACAGACAGAAGTGGTGTGGCATTTTTATTTCAAAGCAGGGAGTAAAAGCCGGCACGTTGCTTAGTAAAAACAGCACATACTATGCACCAAAAACATTGCTAGGCACACATTTAACCCTTGATTGTCCTTAAACGCTAAACCCTTCCCAGCCAATGTCACCAATCACTGTATTGGTGTCAGTGGCAGTTAGTCAGTTCCCACAAAGTGTCAGTGTCAGATTGCCCACCTCACTATCACAATCCCACTATGTCACTGATCACCACAATTACTAGTATATAAAAAAATAAATAACAATGCCAGTATACAGCGGGTAAAATAAGTGTTGAACACGTCACCATTTTTCTAGGTAAATTTATTTCTAAAGGTGCTATTGACATGAAATTTTCACCACACCGGTAACAAGCCATGCAATCCATACATGCAAAGAAACCAAAATAAGTAAGTGCAGAAATTAAGTTATGTGTAATAAAATGGAATGACACAAGGAAAAAGTATTGGTCATGCTAACTGAAATTTATTTAATGCTTCGTACAAAATCCTTTGTTGGTAATGACAGTTTCAGGGTGCCTCCTGTATGGAGAAACTAGTGGCATGCATTGCTCAGGTGTGACTTTGGCCCATTCTTTCACACAGTCATCAAATCTTGAAGGTTTGTGGGCCTCTTCTGCGAACTCTGATCTTTAGTTCTTTCCATAGATTTTCTATTGGATTAAAGCAGTGTTTCTCAACCCCAGTCCTCATGGACCCCCAACAGGTCATGTTTTCAGGATTTCCATTATTTTGCACAGGTGATTTGATCAGTTTCACTGCCTTAGTAATTACCACAGCTGTTTCATCTGAGGGAAATCCTGAAAACATGACCTGTTGGGGGTCCATGAGGACTGGAGTTGAGAAACACTGGTTTAAAGTCAGGTGACTGGCAGAGCCATTCTAGCAGCTTTTTTTGTTTCTTTGTATTATGGATTGCATGGGTTGTTACCAACATGTGGTGAAAATTTCATGTCAATAGCACCTTTAGAAAAATAGTGATGTGTTCAATACTTTTTTTACCCGATATATATTTAGTGTAAACAGAATAGAAATGCATGCTCTAACACAGTTGCAGTGTTTCTGATAAAGTTATTCATGAAATTATTTTACTTGCCTGGATTAGCCTTTCAGGAATATTAAACATGTATGTAGACCCCGACAATGAACCTCTTCTTTTTTTTTTTTTTTTTAATTGTGTATTTATTAAAGTTTTCAAAACACAAGTAACAGATTAATCAGCAATGAGGATTACAAATGAGAAAAAATAGAAAATAATAAAAAGACAATAATCAGGAGGAACATAAGGAAGCGCCCACAACAAAAGGGGGCCAAGTAATATAAACAGTTACATTCCAAAACCGGCCTAAGTCATAGGACAAATAAGGTACATGAGAAACCGCTGCACAATGGTAAAATGAAATATGCGAATGAGAGTAAGTGGGTAGTGTGGGATTGCACACATAGGGCTACACACGTATGTAAACGCAGATCACACAACATGTGATCTCTTGTCTTCAACATTCGAATGAGAGCAATTATTCCAGCACCAGACCTCCTGTATAACTCTAAACTGGTAACCTGTAAAGGCTTTTAAAGCGACACTTATGGAGATTTTTAGGTACCCTAGTTTTAGCACTGATCCACAGCCGTACGCAAGTTTAAAAGTGTGACATGTTAGGCATCTATTTACTCGGTGTCAAATCTCTTGTTTACCACAAATTGGGTATTATGTTGTGTTTTTTTTTGTACTAAAATAAATTTTTCCTGAAAATTTGCATTTGATAAACTTCTGCGCAAATAACGTGCTAAAATTATTTGCAGCAGCAGCCATTTTATTCTCCAGGACCCTTGCTTAAAAATATATAACAAGTGGGGGATCTGAGTCATTTTCTAGCAAAAAATGCGGATTTGTTTAATGTATGAGAGAAATGTAAGAATTCACTTGGACTGCAAGTAGTTAAAATAACAAAAATTAGGGAAATGGGTGGGAACTGCAGAAATGTACAATATACGATTATTATTTATGACATACACTTTGGTATTTTTTTTTTTCTTTGTTTTTTTTTATGTTCCTCTGCAGCCTTTGGCTAAACCAGTGTACCATAAAAGTGTGAGCCTTCAGGAACCTCAGCGAACAGAAGAAGTAGCCCCAAATGAAAGACCTGGCTTCAGAAGACAAACGTCACTATCCCAGAGCATAAGAAAGTGAGGAGGAAATCATTGTATTTCTATGTTAATGCACACTATTGTGATAAATGTGGTATTTACCTTTAAAGTGCTAAAGGCAATTTTTTTATTTTTTAGCATTTCTTAGGGCTTGTTCACACTTGGCTAAATTTCTAACTCTCAACACACATTCCTATATTGTTAGTATGGGCGTTAGACAGGCGTTAATGAGCTTTAATTTGGCTGTTAGGCATTTTACAAGCGTTAAAAACGCTCCCTAAATGCCCTATGCACGGTTTTATAAGCGTTTTTACAAGCCTTTAAACTGCACCACAAATGCCTATAATAAACTGTAATGTTAATAACATGCCACAACCACACTGCAAATGCCTGCCAGTGCATTTGCAGAGCTTCACTATAGACTTGAATGGGAGGCGTTGAAAGGCTTCAAACTCCTCATGACTCGACATGAGGCTTCAGGTTTTAATAATGTGGACAGCACAGCACGCTCCCAGCACAAAAAATGTGGTGTCACTGAGAGCCCCGGGTCCTGTTCTAACGATCGGGACCCAGGACTCCCAGTTCTGGGTCACATGATCGCTGCGATAGCCTCTGATTGGCTATCACAGTGATCAGTCACTGTACAGCCCGACCCCTTGTTTTTTTTTCTCTCTCTTTGAATGGAGGAGAGAGATGCATTGCATCTCTCTAACTCCTGGCATAGAGGGAAAAAAAATGTTTATTTAAAAAAAAAAAAAAATAGATAAATATAAAAAAAAAAATTTAAATAAAGAAAAAATACCTAGATCAAGGTTTGATCTAGTTCAGTGCCAGGGTTAGTGTTCAAATCAGGGTCAAAGATCAAAAGGTCATTGTCAAAGGTCAGGGTTTACAAAAAAAATTTGGTGTCGGTGTGTTTTAGGTAAAAATAAAACAAAACAAAATGCGCACTATTGTTTCTGGGCTGTACTACGGGTACAAACAACAAATAACATACACATATATGGTATCGCTGCGATCGTCAATAGCTGGAAAATGTATTTTGGGTTGCTCTTTGATGGTAGATTATGGTAGTAACAAGAAACACACAGCTAAATTAAAAAAAGATTTTTTTTTTTTTACTATTTTGGGCCAGTTTTCCTTTGATAATGAAATAATCAGGAGATATCCATTACCATTTACCACCAAATGAAAGCCCAATTTGTTCTGAAAAAAGAAGGTATAATTCACCTGGATATACAAAGTAGTTGTGATGATATGTACGGTTTTACTAACACATGTCAACCTTGCAAAATTGTGCTTAGGCATTTAGATTTGTTTTACCCTTAGGCGTGAAGGAGTTAATGTATACAGTCAAAGTCGCATCCATATTGCACCTATCTGAAGTTGCATCAAAGTCGCAATGTAAAGTCACAATGGAAATCCCACAACTTTGCAGTCGCACAAGTGTGAATGAAGCCTTAAAGTGGAACTTGCGTCTTTAGAGAGAGAAAAAAAAAAGTACGCAGTCTCTTTATTGCAGTTTTAGTGGGAAATAAAACTCAGCTGCTTCTAGGGGTGAAAGTGGTGTTAGCACTAAGTAGAAAATAAATCAATAGTAACAAAGAATTTAGAGTATTAGTGGTGTACATAAGAGATTCTTGAAATAATTTAGCAATGAATGTGCCTACCATACACATGTAATGTGGTGTGCTTACTTGATAGATTCCAGCAGAAGACAGAGGAAGAGACTGAGGACTTATTACCACCCGACTCTCTCTCTCTTTCTGTATGCTATTTCCATTAGCATGATTTAGCTACATTGAACTCAATATGTGAGCTTTTAAAGTCAGAATGGTCTACACATCACGGCATTTAGTAACCGCATCCCTACTCCCCCACAGCCTAGACATTTGCATGCATTTGACATATTGAAAACCTATTTTGGATTTCGGGGAAAACTGCGTTCTGCTAATTGAGGCTACGCTGTGTAGTAACAGAGGGAAAAGTAGGAGCACCACACTCAAGAAATGGAGTCCAAAGTATTCTTTTCCTTTTTAATAGTCGACTTGTTGAACGATTTTGCTCAACAAGTCAACTTGATATGATTTTTTTGCCTTGAAACATTAAAGCTATGGGTTTAATTCCCACCAGGGACCATAGACCTGAGTTTGTGGGTTTTCTAGGGGCTCCTGTTTTCTCTCGCTACCCAAAAAATGACCTAGACTGACTTCCATCTAAATCAAATTGTGTGTGACTGTGGTAAAGGGATCAGATCAGACTCCTTGTGCTTAGGGGCAGATGAATTTACTCTCTCTTCTCGTTACAGGGGCACAGCCCAGTGGTTTGGTGTAAGCAATGATTGGGAGGGAAAGCGACAACAGTGGCAGCGTAAAAGTCTTCATCACTGCAGTCTCCGATATGGAAAGCTTAAACCTCAGTATCAGAGGGATATGGAACTGCCCAGCCAGGAAACTCCCTCCTTCCAGGCCACAGAGTCCCCTGCCACTTACCGAATGCCCAAGGTATGTCTTTTAAATGTTGTCACAGGTTTTAACCAGCATTTACTAATTAAAAAAAAAAAAATTAAGGAGTTCCGCCAGAAAACTGATCAAGGAGATGAACTGGATGTCTAAAACAACGATTTTTTTTTTCTCAGCATGGTGCATCTGGTCATGAAAATATGTCAGATCTAAAAGTTTGCAATATGTCCCTAACATCTAAAGTATTCATAACCATAAAGCAGACCTTTATGCAACCCCAAATCCAAAAAAGTTGGGATGCTGTGTAAAATCTACATAAAACAGAATGCAATGATTTGCAAATTTCAAAAACCCATATTTTATTCACATCAGAAAATAGAACTCATATCAAATGAAAACTGAGAAAATGTGCCATTTGAAAAAAAAAAAAAAAAGGTAATTTTGAAATTGATGGCATCAACACGGTTCAAAAAAGTTTAGGGCCATGTTTACCAAGGTGCAGCATCCCCTCTTCTTTTATCAGCATCAGTTGCTGGAGTTTTGGTAGAGGAATGTCCCATTCTTGCCTCCTATAGGACTCTAACTGCTCAACAGTACTGGACACACAAATCAGGGCTTGGGGAGCGAGCACGCACGAGAACCCCCATAGAAAGTGGCTTGCTATGGAGGCACTAAGCAGGGGGCGGGAGCCCAGAGCTCCGACGGTGGACCCAAGAAAAGGAGGATAGGGGCTGCTCTGTGCAAAATCTTTGCACAGAGCAGGTAAGTATAACATGTTTGTTATTTTAAAAAAAAAAAAGATGCATTTAATATCACTTTAAGGGTGAGGGTTAAGTTTGCACAGGTAATTTAAAGCAGTTGCAGGACTCCCTGCAGGTTTTCTCACAAGAGTGACTTGCACTACATGGATATAAAACACAGATGTCTAAAACTGGTCACTTTAAAAAAAAAAAAAAAAAAAATCCCATTTTCTTTTTTTTTGCAGGTAAAGAAAATGTGCATATACTTTTTTTTTTTTTAAATAAAAAAGTAAAGCATCATAAGATCGCTGGTGCCATACCTTGTACGGGAAGACATTTTTACACTGACAGGAAGACTCCATGAACTACCACAGCGCTAAACAGTACCGTGCTAGTTCATTTAGAATTACAAGCCGACATTTGCAAAGGATGTCGGAACTTGTATGTTAATTCACAGAACTCTGTCAATGAATGACGCAGCCTCGTGGGCGGAGCCCTGCATGGCCTTGCTGTTTTTTAAAAAGTGACAGGGAGCTTCTCACCACACTGCTGTCACAGGGAGAGAGGCAGTAGTGGTTGCAGCAGTGGGAGCACGTTACACGTTTCACTCTAGAAATGGGTGGAACATGTAACATGGAAGGAAAAATGTCACCAGCACACCGATGATCACCAATATGGGTCCAAAGGTTTTAATGAATGATCACATAGTTAAAGCAAGGCAACGTTTCGGAGTCTCGCAGGACCCCTTCATCAGGTATGTGACTATGCCTGATGAAGGGGTCCTGCAAGACAAGAAACGTTGCCTTGCTGTAACTATGTGATTGTTCATTAAAACCTTTGGACCCATATTGGTGATCATCGGTGTGCTGGTGACATTTTTCCTTGCTGGTTTTGTTCGGTTCCAGCCGACGGTCGCTGCAGCACCCACTTATACACAGCCATTTTTAACGCAGGAACGTTTGTGTTTGGATTGTACACTTGCATTCTGAACATGTAACATGTTCCCAAAGGTGAAATTATCTTTTAAAGACTTTGTTCACACCGTGTACCACATATATGCACAAACTGAGTGACAGTATTGGGGTGAATACCTCTGTGGAGGTAGCAATGGATAAATTGTACATTGGACCTCCTGTCCGTGTCTAATTCATAGGCCCCTCACTAGTTTTAAAGTCCTTGTACATAGACATTTGAGTTTGGCTTGTGTTACGGAGAGGAATATGAAGGCTACCTTTTGCTAACCTTTTTGAAATCAAAATTCTAACGATCTACAAAGATATGACTTACTGTAAAACAGTACTGAATTGTAGAAAATTTTCAGAATCCCCCATGACAACCCTCTCCCCTTGTTTCCCATGAGTTTGGGGCCCCGGGCAGCAGCTCATTCTGACCCTTCTTTATAATTTAAGCTGAGTGCAGCTTGCCCTTTAGGGAGCTCACATTGGATATTTAGAGGAGCAAAATGCCACACTGATAGAAAATGAGAGAAGTCTTCTGACTGAGGAGTTATTTATGATGATTAGATATGAATTCTGTACTTAGGAGTGGCAAGGGGGCTCCAAAAAGTCTAGTCTTGCATTTGAGCAACCAAAATGTCTTAATCTGAATGAAGATGTAAGGCTGGAAAACCAAAAGTGGCTTGGATGTCACTGCTACCCCTAACAACTAGGAGAGCAGTCCATGGGGGGGAGGGGGTTAATGCAGCCAGGCCTAGACAGTTATAAAAGAAGTTGTGAGCGCTATGAAAACAAAAAGCAGCCACAGCATCAAAAAGGATACCAAAGAACCTTACAAACCATATAATATGAAAGATGCGGCGCTATAGCATAAATAAAACGTCCAAAATGTCAGTATATAGTGGTTAAGTGATTAATGTGATCACAAAAGTTATATCACAAACAAAGTGACATGCGGTGCAAAACCAGTCTTTGTGACAGTTATTTTTCTTCAAAGTGCTGCTTCCATGCAGTAAACGTGAAAAGGATAAGGCTGTGCACTCACCAGATGCACAGTGTAACTGCGCATTTAGAGATATATTATCTCCACTAGATCCACAAGTAGCTTCAAAAGGTCAGGTCAGGCCGGATATTCCTCCACCCGCTGGATGTTGCTAGTAATCCAGGGGTCTCTCTCTTAGGTGGCTCTATAGGTGATGAGTGACTCACCAAGGGCCACAAAGAAAGGAGACCAATAGCATGATACCGTTTAAAAGATATTTATTTCATATGCAGTATGATATAGGTGAGGAAAACAAACAATCACTGACCATAAGGTGAATTGACAGATGGCCGCCGGGACCTCCGTGGTGCCGGCGGCAGAGAAATAGTGACGCTGTAGCTCCTACCCTGACGCGTTTCGTGCTAACCGCACATCATCAAAGGGGATAAGCTTATCCCCTTTGATGATGTGCGGTTAGCACGAAACGCGTCAGTGTAGGAGCTACAGCGTCACTATTTCTCTGCCGCCGGCACCACGGAGGTCCCGGCGGCCATCTGTCAATTCACCTTATGGTCAGTGATTGTTTGTGCAGAATTCTGAGAAAACACAGTCAATTGGTCAGAAAGTGACATTCGTATGGGCATTCTGTCCACAAACAATGTATGGAATCCTGAAATTTAACATATTCGTTATTTTGTCTTTTGGTTGAACATGGTGGAAATGTATCTTTTCAAATGAGCTCCTATTGCTTATGTATATGACAGATTTCAATAGTATGATTTATGCAAAAAATTGCCTTCTGCATTTTCACTCACTTAACTCTTCACGTTTCCTTATTTCAGATTGTTGATCCGTTGGCACGAGGAAGGGCCTTTCGTCAACCAGATGAGGTGGATCGGCCACGAACCCCTCACGTAGGAGTTGCCCCAGTGACCCCTGGAGTCCTATCACTAACCTCCTTCACCAGTGTGCGTTCAGGTTACAGTCGTTTTCCAAGACGGAAGAGAGAGAGCGTGGCACACATGAGTTTCCGGCTGCAGCCGCTATCATAAAGGTGAGCTACACTCCCCTTAGATTCAGGGATCCACCCCTTGTTGTAATGGGAGAACCCTGTATCAGAGCTTAGGTTCCCCAGATAAAAATAAGTGGGAAAAAAAGAGAAAAAACTGATGCAACCACCACACATGGAATGGTAAGCTGCATTAATTTTTTTTTCTTGTGTATAGGTACATGTGAAGTTATTTAAATAAACTGTGTTTAAGTATAAAAAAAAGTGCTTCACTAATTTAAACACATTAATTATTATTATTATTTTATTATTATACAGTATTTATAAAGCGCCAATAGTTTGCTCAGCGCTGTACCATTACAGAGGGGAACAGAACATGTGACAGAACAATACCAATACAATGCAAAACATGAGGGGATCGAGGGCCCTGCTCTTTCGAGCTTACAATCTAGGAGGGAGGGGGTGGTGGCACAGGAGGAGATAGCTGTGGGGGATGGAGTGGTAGGAAGAGTGGAGGAGGTCGGCAAGTTAGCAGGGGGTGGGGTAGGCATCCCTGAAGAGATGGGTTTTCAGGGTGTGCCTAAAGGAGAGGAGAGTAGGTGATAATCTGATGGGTTGGGGCAGGGAGTTCCAGAGGATGGGTGACACCCTGGAGAAGTCCTGGAGGCGGGCATGGGGGGAGGAGACCAGGGAACTAGAGAGAGAGAAGGAGGTCTTGTGAGGAGCGGAGTGTGCGTGCTGGGCGGTACTTGGATATTAGGTCAGTGATGTAGTTCGGGGCAGTATGGTGGACAGCTTTGTACGTGAGTGTTAGGATTTTGAATTTGATCCGTTGCGCAATCGGAAGCCAGTGGAGGGATTGGCAGAGGGGGGTGGCGGAGACAGAGCGGTTGGAAAGGTGAATGAGTCTGGCAGCCGTATTCAGGATGGACTGAAGCGGGGATAGCCAGCGGCGAGGCAGGCCAGTGAGGAGGGAGTTGCAGTAGTCGAGTCGTGATATGATGAGGGAGTGGATGAGCTGTTTAGTGGTTTCTGGGGTTAGGAACGTGCGGATTTTGGCGATGTTGCGGAGGTGGAGTCTGCACGAGTTTGTTAAAGATTGGACTTGGGGCTGGAAGGATAGGTTGGAGTCCAGAATGACACCCAGTATTCTGGCCTGCAGGGGCGGGTTTAATGGTAGCGTTGTTGGACGTGACGGAGAAATCAATGGGGGGTGGTGTCCGGGCTGGGGGGAAGACAAGAAACTCGGTTTTGGAGAGGTTCAATTTAAGGAAGTGGAGCGACATCCAGTCTGATATGTCGCTCAGTAGGTGTGTGATTTGGGCTGAGACCAAGGGGGTGAGGTGGGGGGTTGAGAGATAGATTTGTGTGTCGTCGGCATAGAGGTGGTAGTTGAAGCCGTGAGAGTGTATGAGTTGGCCAAGGGAGGAGGTATAGATGGAGAAGAGAAGGGGCCCGAGGACAGAGCCTTGAGGGACCCCAACAGAGAGGGGGAGTGAGGGGGAGGTGGTAGCATTATAGGGTAACGCTGAAGGAGCGTTGTGGACAGGTAGGTATGATGAGAGAGAGAGAGCAGATCTCTGAGGCCGAGGGAGTGTAGTTTTTTGAGGAGGAGGGGGTGGTCGACTGTGTCGAAGGCCGCAGAGAGGTCAAGGAGTAGGAGCACTGAATAGTGGCCATTAGTTTTGGCGGTTAGCAGGTCGTTGGAGAGTTTGAGTAAGGCAGTTTCGGTGGAGTGTAGGGGACGAAAGCCGGACTGTAGGGGATCGAGGAGGTTGTTGTCGTTGAGGTGAGAGCATAGGCGGGTGTAGACTAGGCGCTCGAGGAGTTTAGATGTAAATGGGAGCAGGGAGATGGGTCTGAGGTTGTTCGGGTCATTGGGGTCCAGGGAGGGCTTTTTAGTATGGGGGTGATGTGCGCATGTTTCAGAGGGGAGGGGAAAGTGCCTGAGGAGAGGGAGAGATTGAAGATGTGGGTGAGGGAGCGTAGGATGGAGGAGGAGGAAGGTCGTAGGAGTTGTGAGGGGATAGGGTCGAGGGGGGCAGGTGGGTGAGGCGGGCGTCAGAGAGGATCTTGGAGACTTCCTCGATGGTAGTAAGGTCAAAGGTGCGGAGTGTGGGGGGAGCTTCAGTATGAGGAATGTAGGGTGGGGTGGAAGAGGAGGTCAGAGCAGTGGTGGGCCGTGGAGAGGGGTGATGAGGGGGTAGCTGAGTGAGGGTGAAGGGGGTTCGAGAGAGTTTGAGCAGCGACGAAGTCCCTGCGGGTTATGTCGAGGGGGAGGGGGGATAAGGGGGTAGCTGTGTGAGAGGGGACGGGTTGAGAGGGCGTGTGAGTTGCGGCAATGTCCTTGCGAATTGTGTCAATCTTGTTTTTGAAGTGATTGGCAATCTCAAGGGCAGTGAGTGAGGTGCTGGGTGGAGGTGGGGGTGGAGAGAGTAGAGAGCTGAAGGCAGAGAAGAGTCGGCGAGGATTGGAGGAGAGGGCCTTGATGAGGGTCAAGAAGTAGGCCTGTTTGGCAGCATGGAGGGAGGAGGTGTAGGTGAGGAAGGCAGATTTATAGCGGGTGAAGGCTTGTTGGGATTTGGTTTTGCGCCATAGTTGCTCCAGGGCACGACTTTGTCGTTTGAGGGTTTTGGTGTGATCAGTCTGCCAGGGCTGGAGCGGTCGGGGTCTGATGTTGCGTGTGGTTAAAGGCGCTAGTGAGTCAAGGGCTGTTGAGAGCGCATTGTTGTAGGCGGTCAAAGCCAAGTCGGGGCAGGACAGGGGGAGGATGCGGTCGTGGAGTTGATCAGCTGCAGAGTGGAGGGAGGCAGGGTTAAGGTTGCGGAGGTTACGGCTGGTAGTAGTGTGACATTTGGAGGGGTAGGCGTTGGAGGACGAGGAGATAGAGAAGGTGATCAGGTTGTGGTCAGAGAGAGGGGAAGGGGGTGTTAGTGAGGTTGTGGGGAGCGCAGCGGTTGGAGAAGACAAGGTCCAGGATATTTCCGTCGGAGTGGGTGGTGGATTGTATGCACTGTGCAAGTGCAAAGGAGGAGGTTAGGTGGAGGAGACGGGCTGTGTCCGGGTTGTCGAGGTTGACAGGGATGTTGAAATCCCTAAGGATGATGGTGGGTAGCTCAGAGGAGAGGAAGAAGGGTAGCCAGGAGGAGAAGTCATCCAGGAAGCGGGGTAAGGATCCAGGAGGCCGGTATATCACAGCCATCTTCAGGGGGGGGGTTGGGGAGAATAGTCGGACGCAGTGGGCCTCGAAGGAGGAGAAGGATAGGGAGGGGGGGTTTGGGAGGACTCGGAAGGTGCTCTGCGGTGACAGGAGCAGACCAACCCCACCACCTTTACGACCGTTAGGCCTGGGAGTGGGTCCAGGTGAGACCTCCGTAGGAGAGTGCAGCAGGGGAGGTAGAGTCAGTGGGCTGGATCCAGGTTTCCGTGATCGCTAGGAGGTTGAGGGAGCGGGAAACAAAGAGGTCGTGGATGGCGGTAAGCTTGTTGCACACCAAACGGGCGTTCAGGAGTGCACATGAAAATTGGGGGGGGGGGGGCGATTTTAGGGAGCAGGGGACAGATACTAAGTTGTGGGGGTTTCAGTAGGACGTGGAGGTGGGAGGGTGTTGAGCGGGTGAGGGAGGTGGAGGGCCAGGATTCGGGGAGATGTCCCCCACGGTTAGGAGGAGGAGAAGGGTGAGAAAGGTGGCCTGGGAGCGGGATGTGCAGGAGCGTGAGAAACTCCTAGTGGAGGTGTTGGGGTCAGTGGGAGAGCGGAGTAATAGGAGGAGGTGGTGGGTGCCATAGAGGGGCGAAGGGAGCAGTGAGGACACAATATACAATTGTTTGGGAGGGGCAGAAGGATATATAGTGAATGGATTTTGGGAATGGAGGAGAGGAACATGAGAAGGAGGAGTGGAAGAGGCATTTTGGGGAGGTGAAGAGAGCAATAGTAGGGAGATGATAGCAGTGAGGGGGAGATGTACAGGTTGTGGGGTGGAGCAGAGGGGTAAAGAAATGAGATTTGGGAACAGAGGATAGTAATATGATAAGGAGAAGAGGGGGTGTATTATATAAAGGTACACAGAGTGGGACTCAGGCATGTAAGAGGTTTCCCAGGGTGTTTGCTTGCAGTCTTCCAGCATGCAGTAGAGCTTCTTGCTGTTGTTGTGTCTTCCTGCTGCTTAAGTTCTCCTGCTTTAGTTCAACTGCTGCGTTTAACTGCTTCGCACTCGTTCTAAGCCGCACTCAATCTGAAGCAGCACCCCCATCAGAGACTGTGCCCCCCATCGGAGATCTCCCCCATGAGCTGATCTAAATTTATAGGGAGATGCTCAAATGAGCATTCAACTCCACCCCAATTAGAAGCTGATAAGGATCACATGAGTAGTGATCCTTATACTCAAGTGCAAGAATAATTAGTAAATATCTGTGTCAATATTATGTGAAACTCCAATAAAACAGTCTGTGGAATTATCGCAAAAGAGCCATTCTGTGCCCCAATGTGAAAGACAAAAAAGTAATCTTCTAATGTGCTCAACTACATGAACTCCACATCACTATCGTGCCAAACCTGAAGGCTTACCAGAGAAACACGACCATCATTTAATGAGTAGTCATATTGCGCATGGATCTACAAAACTGTCAGACAAATGTAGTTGTTGAATTCTACTACGTCTCTCTATAAATCACTTCAGAACATCACGTTTGGGGGAAAAAAAGAACCTACGCACACGAGCTCAAGAATGCAGGAGCCGCTCCTCCTTATTAAATCCTAATTTCCATAGCAGATATAGCCTTGTCTTACTGATCCCTGGTGATCCGAAAGCATGGAACAAATTTGTATATGCGATTCCATGCATGGAATTGGGGTTCTGTTTCAGACTATTTGGGCAGCAATTATCATTCTCAAGGTGTGTGGGTAGTTCTAGCCAAGAAAGGAGAGTTTTTTTTTTTTTTTTTTGCTGCCAGCCATCGTGTTTGTTGGTAAAAGAGCTCTGGTTTCACACTAGGCACTGTACATAAAATGTAATTGTAAGCTGTTAAAGTGGTTGTAGAGGTAAAAGGATTTTTTATCTTAATGCATTCTCTGCATTAAGGTGAAAAAAAAAGCCTTTTATATGCAGTTCCCCCCGCAGCCCCCCCCCAAATACTTACCTGAGCCCGATCTCGGTCCAGTGCTGTGCATGTCTGCACCAGCTTCTGTCCTCTCTCCCAGCTCTCACAGGCTTGCGTCAGAGCAGCGAGAGCCATTGGCTTCTGCTGCTGTCATTCAAAACCTGATTGTGGGGAGTCGGGCTGTGTGTCTGAATAGACTTCCTATGGTGGGCACTCAGCCGAGGGAAGGAGTCAGGAGCATCGGTGAAGGACCCTAGAGGAGGAGGATCAGGGCTGCTCTGTGCAATACCATAGGTAAGTTTAACATGTTTGTTATTTTAATGGGGGAAAAAAAGGGGGAAGGTTTACGATAGCTTTAAGTTTTTAATTTGCCTTCCTCAACAAGTGTTCAGGCTGAGTCGTAGGCCTGTGTGAGATATTCTCATACTCAGGACTGGATGAACTGTAATACAGATCTTACCTTTTGGATGGTAAAGCAGCTCTTCCGCCTGGCAGTACTTGGGTCGTTGGTTCGAATCCCAACCACGGCACCACCTGCCTGGAGTTTGCATGTTCTCCCTGTACCTGCGTGGGTTTTCTCTGGGTTTTCTGGTTTCCTCCCACACACATGCTGGGAGGTAAATTGGATCCTGTTTAAAATTGGCCCTAGAATGTGAGTTAGGGACCTTAAATTGTACACCCCTTGAGGCTTAGGGACTGATGTGAATGTACAATATACGTGTAAAGCGCTGTGTAAATTGACGGCGCTATATGAGTACCTGAAATAAATAAATATGCGTACTTGTATGCCTGGAGTTTAGCTTGAAAGATGCAAATTACTGCAGCTCTGTAATCATTAATACTTTGTTAAATGTTAGTTTTAAATACAAGCAGTGCAAGTCCTGGAAATTGACTTGATATTAGCCTCTGGCAGACCCTGTATAGCTAAGCTGAGGTGTGAAAAGAAGAAGCAGCACAAAGAGCCAATCAGTTCATGTTCTGACAGAAAGCATGCTGATAGGAGTTAGCCACCAGTCACAATGTTGCGACTGATAATTGTGCGATTTCTGGAGCAATTTCTGAAGACTTTATTGCAACTTGTGAAGATTTTCAGCGATTTCTTGCAATTTGCATTGCAATTAGTTTATATCCTATGTATGTGAAATCGCAATAAACTACAGAAAAAGTAGTAAATACTTTAGAAATTGCACTGCAGCAAACCGCACATATTAAGACACTGACATTCACATTCATTAGGTGCAATTTCAGTTCCCAAATCACACTGGTATGACCGGGCACTTAAAAGCAGAATGAGCAGGTAAGCTGATCACTGCACTGCTTCTCCTTTCACTGTTCACTTACAGGCTGGGGTGGGTCCATGATGACCTGTGCTCTGAGAAAGTGGCTTGAATGATGTTGGCTATCAGAGGTAGAAAAAAAAACTGCGGGGAAATTACTGGATTGAAGGTTAATATTGCAGAAAAGGCTTTTTAATGGGCTATTCTTTTTATCCTATTTTTGGGTGGAGTTCTGTTTTAGAAAATATCAACCATTAACCAAAAACCATGATACTTTCTAATGCATCTGAAAAAGAATTTTCAATAAAATTGTTAGCTGTTGGCTAAATAATCTTGAGCTGGATATTTTCTTTATGTGCATGCATATGCTATATTTTGGGTAAGCTACCAGTGTGGTGTCTTTTTACATTTATTTTACAGTGCCTGTGTATATGCAGTTTAATACATTCTACATATCACATTTAATATCTGCCTATGTCAGAATATTCAAGATTTGAATTGTTTTTCCAGGGTCGCCCCATATTAGACACTCCTCACAGCAGGAAAGCTGGACTGAAGAGAAGCTTTGCCTATCCAAGCTTTATGGATGAGGACATAGTAGATGCCCCAGATACTCTGGATTCCTCCTTCTTCAGTAAGGCAAGAAACTTTCTTATCATGTAATAAAACGTATTTTCAAGGTTCACAGCACAGAAAGCACGTAGAAAGCCCTGACAGAGGTATATGTTAAGCAGTCAACACCAGTGTCATACCCATCCTAACATAAATGCTACTGTGCACCAAAAAGCATTCTATGCTCCAGTCTCCGCACATTATCAAAAGGGTAAGGAGGGCTTGAAAGGAAAATTAAAAGGAATTTATAGTATTTTTTTTTAATGTTTGGCACTAAAAGTACATTTTTTGAAAAAAAAAATGTTTTTTAATTGGTCAATATGCAGTCTGTCAGACTAATATTTCAAGTATAACCATTTGTAGCCAGCAAACATTGTGCTTGAGGTGCTACTGTGGACTATTCACAGCATAGCACTAAACAATTTTCAGAAAATTCAAATGGTTTTTGTTGTGAGTAGGACTATTTTTTAAAAATGTATATTAATTGATAGATTCCCGTTTGAGATTGAGTGAGCATTGTGGATAGCATAGCTGTTATGTTGGGAAGAAAGATGGACTTGCAAAGAAAACTGGAGAGTGAGGGTGAAACTTGCCTGTAAGTTTGTACGTCCAGTTCTCCTGTTGCTATTTGTCCACCCTTAACTTCAGCTTCTCAGAATGTCACATTCAATTTGCAGCAGTCATTCTTGCAAAAAAGGGCAAGACCTAAAGTCAACCTGTACTCTAGTTTAAAAGTAAAGGCCTGCTAAAGAGTGGGCACTGCTTGATGGCTGATGATACCCTTCATTGCTAAGCTCCATCTTTGATGACCCCCCCCCCCCCCCCCATCCAGTTAGAGTGCTTTTACTGACCACCGCAACACAATGTCATTGGAGAGGGGAATAGCAGTCTGGAGGCTCAGCTGTTAAGTTGGAAAGTCAGACCCAGTAACAAATGAAAAACTTGATCGCTTTCATCTTGAGATGTCTACTGCTATACAGAACAATTTATAATATAGTACAGGGAATATGTCACAGGTGAAAGGCCTGTCTGAGAAGCCTCCAGTAGAAGCTGCTGTGTTCACACTTCTGGGCTGTGTATTAGTTCATGAGTTTACTTAGAGTGCTGCACACTTTAGAGGTGCCATGATGTGCTGGGGGCAGTTCACACATTTGCAGATTTAAACCACAAAGACCTCCTGATTCTGATTAGAAACCGTTAGTCTAGATTCACATTATAGGCCGCTTTGTGCGCCGTGGTTTGTGGTGACACATGGAAAAAGTCCCTGAACTATTTTTGGAATCGCAGCCCGCACAGTAACTGCAAGTACAGTGCGGTCCCAATTTCCAGTGCAGGCAGCGGGCCATAAGAATTAATGGCACCCACCTGCATCTCCTGCTCTTCACTGTGCGAATGGCTGCGGCTGCGGCAAGAGGAGCGGGTCCTGCAACGGCAACCACATGCACAGGTGTGAGCTTAGCCTTACAGTTGAGATCATTTTGCTGCCAGTGTGTATTGCAATAAAGTGGACCAATTGTGCAGCTTGACTCTGCTTGTTATACACTGATTGGAACATTGGCTCTGAAGAGACTCGCTTTACTGCTCTGGAATTAGTATGCAGCTCGAAGGTTAGAGAATGGGCCCCTTCCTTCAGAGGTTAGGTGGCAACATGATAGGTGAGACATGACAATCAACTTCTAAAATCACTTCAGTCTTTAAAATTAAAAAATAAATTAGTGCTTTAGTGTTGATTCGTTTTTTTTTTTTTTGTAAAATGACAGGTAGACTTTTAAGTGCTACGAGAATTTGGGTGTTTTTGCCTGGTGCTGCCAACATTTATCTTACTTTTTTTCATTTTCTGATTGCCATAGGTGGACATGCATGATGAAACCTTCTCTATGCCAGATGACGTTTTTGAATCTCCTCCTCTCTCTGCTGCTTACTTCCGAACTCCTGTGCCAACAACTGATGATGCTCCCATTACAAGTGGGTGAGTATCCCCAATATGTACAGCTTTGTGCTAGAAATGTTACTGTCCAACTGGAGTAAAGATTACATCCTTTAATTCTATGTCCATTGAGAACTTTCTGTGTACCAAAGGAATCTGTCCTCAAAAAGCTTAGAAGTGCCCCTTAGGGGCATATATGTATATGTCTATTGAAACTAGGTGTCACTAGATGGTGTAACATCATAGGGTTCTAGTTTATACCACCTGGGGCTTAACACCTTCCCGCCTGGCCTATAACAGATTGATGGCCGGGCGGGACGTTTCTCCTTCTGAGTGGATGTCATATGGTGTCCTGTCAGAGGGCGCTGCTCACAGAGCCGCACTGTGGCGCGATCTGTCACTGGCTGTGTCCGTGTGACACAGTGGATGACAGATAACTACACCAGCCTGCTGCTAGTGTCATGTGATTGCTGTGACCAATCACAGCAGATCACATGACAATTGTGTATACAATGGCTTCCTTTCATGCCATCCATTGTATACAATTTTGGTGTTAGCTGTGATTGGTCACAGCGGTCACATGGTACAGACAGGCCCAATCACAGCCCACCTGTACCATGTGATGAACTTTGGCCAATCACAGCTAATTTCAACAAAAGACTGTGACAGTTTCATTCAGTAAAAATGGTTGCTAATATCAATGAAATACATTGGTGTAAGCAATCATAATTTGTAAAAGAGAAAAAAAAAAGTCCTGATCACTTGCCCAGAGTAGCACAGTGTTATTATGTTATGCAAAGCAGCGTGCTTACAGTTGAAAGCACACACAGCACATAATGTGAAACCGCACACAGTTAACCCTTTGATCGGCCCACATGTTAACCCCTTCATGGCCAGTGCCATTTAGTACAGCGTCCATGCTTTTTGTTAACACTGATCACTGTATTGGTGTCACTGGGGATGTCAGTGACACCAAGTCAGTTACCCCCCAGTGTCAGAATGCCCGCTGCAGTCCCACTATAAGTCTCTGATCACCGCCATTACTAGTAAAGAAAAAAAAATTATTTTTTAAATGTCAGTGTATATATACCACCATTTGTAAACGCTATAACTCACGTAAACCAATTAATTTACACATATTGGGATTTTTTGTAGCAAAGTCATTTAGCAGAATACATTTTTAAATAAATTTATGACTAAATTTGTTTTTGTTTTTTTTTTTTTTTTTAATTTTACTGGATATGTTTAATAGCAAAAAGTAAAAAATATAGTTTTTTCTTCTTAAAATTGATGGTCTTTTTTTGTTTATAGCGCAAAAAATAAAAACTGAACAGGCGATCAAATACCACACAAAGAAAGCTCTATTTGTAGGGAAGAAAGGACATAAATTTAATTTGGGTGCAGCGTTGCATGACTGCGCATCTGTCATTTAAAATAACGCAGCGCCGTAACGCAAACAATGGCCTGGTCAGGAAGGGGGGTAAATCCTCTGGAGGGCAAGTGGTTAAGTAAAACACCTTCAATATGAAGCTACCCCCCAGCCCCTCTTATACTTACCTGAGCCCAAACTTGATCCAGTGATGTGCACAAGAGGAGACGCTTTCTCTTCTCTATCCCTTCTCGTTGGCTCAGTCACAGCAGCGGGATTCATTGGGAGCCATTGTCAATCACAGCCTGTGAGAGGCAGATCCAAGCTCTGAGTGTTTTATAGACATACAGAGCAGGGCTTGGGAGCGTGGACCCATGAGTGCCCCCATAGCAAGCAGCTAGCTATGGTTGACACTCAGCGGGGGGTGGGGTGGGGGAGGAGATATTGGGGGGAGGAGACAGGAACACCAACAGGGGACCCAAGAGAGCAGGATTGGGGCAGCTCAAACCATTACATAGAGTGGGTAATTAAAACGTTTATTTTTCTTTTCTTAAATGAAAGTTTACAATCACTTTAAAAAAGTTTAATTATGCAGTTGAATGTTTTATATGTGAGGTTTAACAGGGAGATTTTTTTTTTAATATTGTGTAAAGTTATTTTTTTCAAAATGCAGTGGTGCCCTCTCTCCACCCTGGACTGGACAGTGAAGGGTGAGATTGATGACCTCTGCTCTCTCTCCATCTATTAACGTTCCTCGTCGGCACATTTGCATTCATCACACATATCTCAGTCAGCTACTGACACTAGTTGTATTTAAAAAATACATGTAATGATTTATTAATGAATTTCATACTGAATTAATTTTTATATGTTATATCTGATTAGCATTCAGCCTTATCTAAAACCAAAAATAAAATAGATGACACAAAAAGGTAATTTTTCATATTACCTGTAGCCAGGTTTGATCTGTGCTGTCATATCACACATTAAAACATTATTCTTCAATTCATCACTGTTTGGCACACATCATTTTTTATTTTTATAACATTGGAAATGGTTTTATTTAGGGCTCAAATTGTACATTGCAGCAAAGAAACTGTTAACCAGCCAAAACCACTCTTATGCCCAATGTATACATGTCCCTTGGTAGTAATATTTTTAGCCAAATCAAAGAAGGCAGTGACGAATCAGAGAATCCGTTTATATGTTATAAGAAGTTTATAAATAGCGTGAATGGTGATCCAGTGGGAAAGTTCTAACAAACTGGAGCTCAAAAGGGGCATAACTTCTCTTCGTTGCCATAATTCACAGTGAGCTCAGGCTTTCCACCACCAACAGAAAAAATGCACCAGGAAAGAGGCCTTATTTAAGGTGAATAACCGTACAAAAACCTGATGGAAGTGGAACATTCATCTTGTAATTAATTCAGAGGAAATGGGAAAACTCCTATAGCTAGAAACTTTTTTTTACACCTTGGACGTGTAATGGTTTATTCTAAAAGCAATTCCCAAAATGTTGGCTGACGTAACGATGCAGGAGAAAGAATGTAAGGACAGGTATGTTCTAGAAGGATGTATTACACTGAATCCTATTTTGAGATGTATATACTATATATAATGATCAGTGTAAATGTGGTTACCACAACCTAATTGGTTTAGCAGGCTAACCTCTGCTAGTGTATGGCAACAGGGCAGAATTGTGTTGGTAAGTTTAAATGATGCTGAGGGTGTAGTAGGGTCCTTCCAGGTGAGAAGCATTGCTTTCTTATGGTTAATTTGTAATCCATGCCATCCAAGTTAATGAATGTCACAAGTGGTCAAGCCATTAAAGGGATTGTAAAGGCAGATTTTAAAAAAAAGAAAGACAAACATGTCATATTTACCTGCGCTGTGCAGTGGTTTTGCACAGAGCAGCCGCAAACGGTCTCTTTTCAGGTACCCAGTTAGCACTTTTGGCCCCTCCCTTCTGTCAAGTGCCCCCCCAGCAAGCAGCTTGCTATGGGAGCTCCCTAGCCACTGCTGTGTATGTTCATTCACACACAGACGAGGCTCAGCCCCTCCCCCCTACTCTCTCCTCATCGGCTTACTGCCTGTGATTGATGGTAGCGGGAGCCAATGGCTGTCTGGGCAAGTGAGGAGGCAGAGACCCAGAACAGGCGGGGCTCTCGTGCACATTGCTGGATCAAGATGGGGCTCAAATAAGTATTGGGTGGAGGGTTCTCAAATGCATGTAGGTAAATAACCTTGGTAATGGTAAGTGAAGCATGACAATAGCAATCTATAAGAGTGCAGCTATCATTTTCCAGGCCACAATGAAAAGGAACAGGATGGACAAGAAAAACTCTAGTTTTCACTCTTCCAGGTTTAATATAAAAGAGAGAGAGATTGTTCTGATGGTTAAAACTAAAGGGGCAATGATGTGTTTTTCATTTTTTGCAGGAGAGAATTTGTAAGGCCTTCTCCTACTTTGGCTGGCCACCCTCGTAGAGGCAAGCGCATTGCATCTCAGGTGAAACACTTTGCCTTTGATCGTAAGAAGCGCCTGTACGGCCTGGGCGTTGTTGGGAATTGGCTAAACAGAACCTACAGACGGAGTATCAGCAGCACAGTGCAGAACCAGTTGGAGCATATTGACAGTCACAGGTGAGGTTTAATATTGTAGAGGAGTACAGATTATTCAGATTTTGGTAGCTGCATTGCTGCAAATTTTGCAGAGCTTTGGTGCCTGTACTCGTAATGAGTGTCAATATTTTTAAAGTGTCAACAACATTAAAGGGAAGGTATAGTGTATTTTTATTGAGCACACTTTTTGCTCACTAGCATTAAAAAAGGACCTTTTAAAATTTGTATTTGAACTGTGGTCATTGTGGAGAACTTCAGAGTTCACAACAGAGACTTTGAAGCTTCCTCTCTCATTATTTCCAATGGCAGCCTGCCAGCCTTCTAAAGCAAACAAACCACAAATTCCGTAAATGCCTAGAAACCAACTGAAACTAAGGTCATAGTCTCTATTGTGATTTGTGAGGATAAATTACTCCACAGTGCCTTTGGTACAGAGGTCAGTGAGGACTTGTTTTAATGTTCATATACGGTTTGCAGAAGCTTTATTGTGCATAGTCTGGGCTCACATGCACTTTAGGGACCATAGCTGGCTTGTGAATGCAGTCATTAAGAGTGCATAGTCAACTTGTTCTTTTCTTTTTGCAGGCCTTACTTTACCTATTGGATCACCTTTGTCCATGTGCTCATCACTTTGCTTGCCATTGGTACATATGGCATTGCACCCATTGGATTCGCGCAACACACCACCACTGAACTGGCAAGTTGATATGTGGATATTGTGCATTTGGTTCCTTTAAAAAAAGCATATATTGGTTTTTTTTTTTTTTTTTTTGTTTTTTTTTTTCTTCTTGTTGGAACTGAAATAAATACTTCCCTACAAAATTTTTACTTAAATATTATTTTTGTGTAAATATTTTTCTTACTATGGGTAAGAGAAGTGACACTTCATCTTCCTTCCTGCTGGTTTCATACAAGGCCCTACATATGAAAGTAAAAATGTAATAAAACAAAAAAAAAATACATATGAAAACTGCCTCTGTTGTGCTGTCTTTATAAAACCCATAGTGCTCTGTAACATCAGTGACATGGGGGGAACCCTGTATTAAATGTTTATTTGTGAATAAAGTTTTTTACATCAACAGGAAGGTCCCATTCACACTATGTCACATAACATCGGGTGTCGCACATGCATAGGGCAACCCATTCGTTACAGGGGGCAGCCCTATATGCAGCAGAGTAGCTCATACATTGTGTTTTTCAACTGCATTTTTTTCCGCTTTTGATGCAGTTCTTTTATGCATGCATTTAAATACTAGTATGGTGTAAATGCAGCCTATAAAGACTACAAAAGATATGTAAAAAAACCTCTTTATGAACTTAAAAATAAATCCCCAAACAATTATAGTTTCCCTTTTAAAGGTGGAAACATTCTGGTACCATATCATGCCATGATAAATATATTGGTATTTTTAGAATGGTAAATATTGTATCAAACATTTGGAAATGGTAAAATGATCATATGGGTAATAATATCCCCTATTTGTTTGCATAAATGTATATTTTCTATGTTTTTGTAGCCGCTAATGGCTTATCACTGCCTTTTTGTGTTTTAGGTCCTAAGGAACAAAGGTGTGTATGAGAGTGTGAAATACATACAGCAGGAAAACTTCTGGATAGGCCCTAGTTCGGTAAGTGTAATGCTCTGACATCCTATCGTAGTGAATACATGCACACCTCTCCAGATACACTGCCATGATGTCAATATTCTGCTGCTCCTGTATTCATCCCAATGCATATAAATATTTCAAAGCAGGGGGGTAGGCAAACTTTGAGAGGTACCTTAGCAACATGGAAGAGATCAATTTGTACTGGGGTGTGGTACCCCTTCTAAAAAGAAAAACAATGACTAGTTAGGGCAGCATGAAGAAATCGTAGTAGAAAAATATAATAAAACCTCACTGTGAAAATATAAGCTTAGCATGCTTTAAAAGAAAGCTTCAATAAGAAATCTAACATTTACATTTTTTTTTTTTTATTGTCTGGAGCGTAAATGATCACCCCAAGCTTCCCGAAGACTGGGAAAGAAGGTGTAGATGAAGCATGTTATCTAGCCAGGAAATGAGACAGGCTCTATCACTAAAGCTTCTAATGCACACTGTGAGAAGCTCTCTGCTGCTACCTCGGATGCAGTTGACAGTGCTGTGACTGTGTTTAGTAGCAGCTGTCCATACACAGACTCGGCACCGTCACCATATGCCCTAAAGTTGTGTGCGGGAGAGCAGCTCCTAATTACAGTCTCAATGCTATGTGTGTGTACATATATACATATATATACTCAATCAGAGCAGCTCTCCTACACACATCCTCAGTGCTATAGGTGTCTATATGCCACAACTGTGTTCCGTAGTAGTTCTACACACAGCCTCAGTACGCTGAGTTTATATCTACAGTCATGTCCATAAATATTGGGACATCAACACAATTCTAATATTTTTGGCTCTATACACCACCACAATGGATTTGAAATGAAACAAACAAGATGTGCTTTAATTGCAGACTGTCCGCTTTAATTTGAGGGTATTTACATCCAAATCAGGTGAACGGTGTAGGAATTACAACAGTTTGCATAGGTGCCTCCCACTTGTTAAGGGACCAAAAGTAATGGGACAATTGGCTTCTCAGCTGTTCCATGGCCAGGTGTGTGTTATTCCCTCATTATCCCAATTATAATGAGCAGATAAAAGGTCCAGAGTTCATTTCAAGTGTGCTATTTGCATTTGGAATCTGTTGCTGTCAACTCTCAAGATGAGATCCAAAGAGCTGTCACTATCAGTGAAGCAAGGCTGTGGAAATACAGAGAGGTTCACCAAAACAAGATCTTAAAAAGAAACGCATTGAGCTCAGCAACACCAAGAGGTGAAGCCTCAAAAACACTGTGGTGGGAACCGAAGCCAGATTCACAAGAGTTTGCCAAGAAACGACATCTAAAAAAGATACCTTCAAGATGTAAACCAGTTCCAGGAACAAACGACATCTAAAAAAGCCTTATGGAACAACATCCTATGGACATGAGACCAAGATCAACTTGTACCAGAGTGATGGGAAGAGAAGGAACGGAACTGCTCATGATCCTAAGCATACCACCTCATCAGTGAAGCATGGTGGTGGTAGTGTCATGGCGTGGGCATGTATGGCTGCCAATGGAACTGGTTCTCTTGTATTTATTGATGATGTGACTGCTGACAAAAGCAGCAGGATGAATTCTGAAGTGTTTCGGGCAATATTATCTGCTCATATTCAGCCAAATGCTTCAGAACTCATTGGACGCCGCTTCACAGTGCAGATGGACAATGGCCCAAAGCATACTGCAAAAGCAACCAAAGAGTTTTTTAGGGGAAAGAAGTGGAATGTTATGCAATGGCCAAGTCAATCACCTGACCTGAATCCGATTGAGCATGAATTTCACTTGCTGAAGACAAAACTGAAGGGAAAATGCCCCAAGAACAAGCAGGAACTGAAGACAGTTGCAGTAGAGGCCTGGCAGAGCATCACCAGGGATGAAACCCAGCGTCTGGTGATGTCTATGCGTTCCAGACTTCAGGCTGTAATTGACTGCAAAGGATTTGCAACCAAGTATTAAAAAGTGAAAGTTTGATTTATGATTACTATTCTGTCCCATTACTTTTGGTCCCTTAACAAGTGGGAGGCACATATGCAAACTGTTGTAATTCCTACATCGTTCACCTGATTTGGATGTAAATACCCTCAAATTAAAGCTGACAGTCTGCAGTTAAAGCACATCTTGTTCGTTTCATTTCAAATGCATTGTGGTGGTGTATAGAGCCAAAAATGTTAGAATTGTGTCGATGTCCCAATATTTATGGACCTGACCGTATATGCTACAGCTATGATCTGAAGTAGTTCTCCTACACACAGCCTCAGCTGTCAATTTAGCAGCCAGGGGAGGAGCTGCAGAAGGCAGCCAGATAGAGAGGAATCCGACGCATCCAAAAGTATGAAGTTCTTCTAATTTTTTTCTTCCAGCTCTAAAATGTTAATAAACCTATTGCCCAGAGGGGGGAACTTTAGTTACAATTGAATCACTGCATGAGAAATAAAAAATTATGTATGTTTTGGTGACGGGGTCTCTCAAATATTTTTCCTGTTTCTCTCAAAAGCTAGTAAGGGCCCTTTCACACGGGTGGACCAATCCGCTTGTCCATTTTTCAGATTGACCCGATCGAACCCTCCATTGCCCTCTGGAGCGGCAAATGTAAACAGATATGTGTCTGTTTACACTCACCTGCTTCTGATCAGATCCACTAAAAACGGACGGATAGGGATCTGTTTCCAATCCATCTAGCGTATCGGATGTAAATGCACAGACGGTCCGTTTACATCAGGCTTCCCATAGAGGACAGCGGGTTGTGTCCATGTCTACTCTGCAAAAACAGAGCGGACACGGACCTGTCATCTGCCTACTCAGCAGGGATCAGCGGACAGATCTCCGCTGAGCAGATAGTCTGCCTGTGTGAAAGGGGCCTAAAAGTCTGTTGGTAACACCAGCCAAAACATTCTGCCTATAACATACTTTTTAAAGGAAGGAAAAAGCTACATTATATGAAAAGGCAAAGCACAACATTCACGTCAGTGTAAGGCACATTGGGAGGCCGAGGGGCCAGCCTTCCACACTCTCATTTGTTAATATTTTCACATGAGAAAAGCTCAGGATTTAAGGCTTCTTAAAGGGAATCTGTTTTTAGAAAAATGTGTGAGCTGCCATTTCTGCCTTCCTTCTGAAAATGCTGGATGCTTGGCTATCTGCGGCCTTAATACTTTGAGTCACTTCTGGTTTTCGATTTGTTTTAGTTTTTTTACTAATCATTTTTACTAATCATTGCTGGATAGGCATGCATCTAATCGAATCAATCTTGATTTGATTAGATTCTTTGGTGGCCAGCCAGACGAGAGAGACAGTGTCTAAAAGGCCTCAGAGGTCTCCATGAAGAGGACCTGTCACTGCCCATGCTATCATAAGAGATGTTGTTCATCCCTAGTGATAGCAATAAAGTTGAATAAAAAAAAATAAATTAGAGACAGTGTAAAAAAAATTTAAAATTAATATAAAAATGTTAAAAATACCCAGTGCTCACATGCAAATGCGTATGTGGGTCCCACACACATGTGTAAACAGTGATTACACCACACACGATGCCATGGACGTTAGAGTGTGTGCAATAATTCCAGCATCAGAGCTAGACTAATAAACTGGTAACTCTAAAGGCTTTTAAAGTGTATGCAGATTTTTAGGTACTGCAGTTTGTTGCCATTTCACTGGCATGCAAAATTTTTAATTTTGACAAATTTGGTATCTCTTTACTTGCACAACATAATCTTTTATATTTTACCAAAAACATTGGCATCATATTGTTTTTGTGTACACTAAAATGTATTTCAGTGTTTTATTTTCTTTAAATTTGCATTTAATAAATGACTGCGCTACTATTGTGCAGCATAAAAAAATAGCAACAGCCACTTTTTTGTTCCCCAGGGCCTCTGTTTTCAGAAAATATATAATGTTTGAGGGTTCTAAGTGCTTTTCTAGCAAAAAAAAATGCAGAATTTAACATGCCTGTGAGAAATGTCAGGATTGACCTGGTCAGTGGTTAAAGTGGTTATAAAATCTTATTTTTCTTCTAAAATAATAAGCATGTTATACTTATCTGAACCTCCTCTTGGGTCCCCTGCCAGCGATCTTGGCTACTAATTTTTTTTTTCTTCTGCATGCACCACCATAGCAAACTACTTGCCATAGGGGCATTGGTACAGGCTCATTCCTGAGCCAGGCTGTGTGCTTCCATAGACCTACACAGTGTGGCTCAGCCCTGTTCCCTCCTCTCAGGATTTGATTGACAGCAGTAGGAGCCTGTGACTTCTGGGGCTACCTCTGTCCTTTTAGGAGAGAGCTACTGCAGACAGTCACAACTCTGAGTTGAGATGACACTCACATAAGTATATTGGGGGGCGGCAATACAATTTTTGGGACATGCTTTACCCTTAATGCACAGAGTACATTGAGGTAAGGAAAAATCTTTCATTTGCAACCACTTTAAGGAACTAGTATCCAGCAGGCAAAGTTAGAAAAAGTCAGAACTTTTGATTTGCTTGACTTGTTGCAGGTTAGTGGCCAAGAATGCATTAAAGTGTTTTGATTAGTTTGATAACCAACCAACTAGCATTTTTCTTAGAAAAGGATAGCAAGGACAGCCTGCATATTTTTATACATTTTCTGTAAGACATTAAGGATATACATATATATGTATGCTATCAGGCTGACTGCAGTCGCTCAGATCATTAAGACACAAGTTCGTGATGGTCATGAAGAGGAGAGGGTTAAAGCATGGTTTCTCGCACATTAAAAGCTACATTATTGCGTACTTAAACTGCATCCTCATGTGTAGCCACTAATTACTCTGCAATGCTGAATCTGCAGTGTATAGCTGTGATTGCTTCCGTTCATATCAGCTACTTAATTTTCCTCAACTTCAAGTATGGTATCTGCACATCAACACTGAAGCATTAAAAGCACTCGTGCTATTACACATACGTAAAGCAGAACTAAACCCATCAATGTAGAGGCCTAGGTAAAGTAGAGGAAGTACAGCGCAGTTTTCAAACCATAGGAACCACCGGATCAGGCTGCAAAGACTATGAACGTGTATGACCCATAGAGGTAGGTGCAAGCGGAGACTGGGGGGGAACAGTGTAGGGCAGTGATGTCAAATTGATGGCCCTCCAGCTGTTGCAAAACTACAATTCACATCATGCCTCTGCCTTTGGGAGTCATGCTTGTGACTGTCAATCTTGCAATGCCTCATTGGACTTGTAGTCTGGCAACAGCTGGAGGGCCGCCAGTTTGACCCCTGTGGTGTAGGGTGTTCACCTTTTTTAATTTTTTCAGAAAAGGTGAACTAATTCTTTGATATCTGCCCTTTTCTGAATGACTAAGTTGCACTTGATCTTATATTCTGGACTTTGTGTCTTTCAGATAGCTCTGATTCACCTTGGAGCAAAGTTTTCGCCCTGCATACGTCGAGATGCACAAATTGAGCGCTTGATCCAGAGAGAGCATGATCTAGAACGGGAGTCTGGCTGTTGCATTCAAAATGATAATTCGGGCTGTGTGCAGACACTACAGCGGGTTTGCTCGGTAAGGAATGTAGAATGAAGGCAGGGACCACTCAGTCTAAACCACATCAATACTAATTTTCCACTAGGTGGCAATCGCTGTCCAGCTGAAGAGAACAATCCCTTAGGCACAAGATTCATTACAATTCTAAATTGGAGTGCAGTAAGTTTATCTGACGCTGAACACCAGGCACAGCTATAAAAGATACCATTGATTGCAGTTTTCAATTAGTAAAGCAATAAATTGTTTTCTTAAACTAGTGCATGTACTGGTATCTCACTTGATAGGAGTCCCTTGCAATCCCCCATAAAAGCAGTAGTCAGATCAGAAGAGGTTGAGGCAACACTGGGACTTTGTGTCTTGCAGACCGGCATGCCAAGATTCTGACAAAATGATAATAATAGGACCGAGAAACTTGAACAGACAGGTGACCTCATCAGTCTCCTGTTTCTCTTTCACTGTCCAGTCGGCTGGAGGTGGAGAGGAGACACCACTGTATTCTTTATCTCTAAAGCCCCTGAACACTTGGGCCAAATATTGGGCAGACATTTGACCCGTGTGTATGGCAACCAGTCCAACAGAAGCCAGATGTCCATCTGGCTTCTGCCGAAGGGGCATTAACGAAAAAGGTCTGCTGAAGGGGCATTAACGAAAAGGTCTGCCAATTAGCTTCTGATCAGTCCTCCCAGCCAGTGGCTGAGAGCACTGACCGGTATGTTCTGGTGGGGGGAGTCGGCCCACAATAGCACAGTGGGGGAGATCACTGTATTAACACCGCTTAATACAACGATCTGTCAGTTTTTTTTGTTTTTTTTTTTGTTTAGCCCGCTGGGTTGAACAAAAAATAACTGATAGTGTGTAGAGGGCATTAGTGGCATCATTTGCCTGGCTGTGCTTTATAATGTGACTGGTATATACTGGATCTTGGTACTGGATGGGCAGAAATTCAAAACCTTTGTAAAATGGCTTCTATATGTGCATTTAGTTTATATACCTAGCTGTTTGGCTGCAGCCCAGCTTGACCTATAACATTTCTTGGTCTTTGTTTTTTTTTCACTGGTAGGAAACACTGGCAACTTTTATAAAGTGGCCAGCATACAACGCACCTGAGAAGGATGGGCAGAAGAGGGTGTCAGGAGCTGTGTGCCATCAAGACCCCCGGTGAGTTACACAAAAAATGGATTTTATGTATAAGTAAAGCCTGCTATATAATGTTCTATAGCAGCCATCACTAAATAGCGGATCGCGGTCTGACTCCAGACTGTGTGATAGGTCTGTCCGGACCACCACAGCCACACCGTAGAGCTTCCTGTCTCTCCTCTCTTTCCCACGCCATCCAGGCCGGTCAGCACACCCATTCTCTGCCGTGCTTTGGAGCTGACATTGTCATCTTCACTGCAAGGCAGAAGACAGGAGTGCTGGCTGGTCTGGATAGAGGGCGGGAGCAGCCCCCAATTTTCAAGTTGACTAGTGGTGATTGGTTGCTACGATGCAGAGCGGTCCTAGCAACCAATCACCCACTAGTATTCAGGAAAAGATAGTAAGCTCCTGCCATCCGTTCAGATAGTCACACCTCCCGCCCCCTGCCCTGCAGTGCAGGTAAGACTGGGTGCAACGTAAAGGAATGGCTGTAATCTATAGGAGTGGGGCTCTGTAATGTAGAGGCATACTACATTATAAAGGAGCACACTGTAATATAAATGGGTACTGCAATATATAGGGGGACACTGTAATATAAATGGGTACTGCAGTATAAAGGGGGCACCATAAAATAAATGGGTACTGCAGTATAAAGGGGGGCACCATAAAATACATGGGTACTGCAGTATAAAGGGGGCACCATAAAATAAATGAGTACTGCAGTATAAGGGGGGGCACTGTAATATAAATGGATACTGCAGTATAAAGGGAGGGGGGCCCTGTAATGTAAAAATGGACATCTATGTAAAGGGGTAGCATGATATGCAGAAGGGGGACTGCATTGTAAAGAGTGGCGCTGTGATGTACAGTATATAAAGGGACTGTGATGTAAAGGGGTAAGCTATGATATATATGGAGGGACTGTGATATAGAGAGGTACTCTGTTATGTATATTGAGGGATTTAATGTGATGTATATGGAGGGACTGTGATGTAAAGTGGTATACTGTGATGTATATGAAGGGACTGTCATATAAAGCGGTACGTTGTGATGTATATGGAGGGACTGCGATGTAAAGGTGAGCACTGTAATGTAACAGGGTTGTAATTTAAAGGAAGGACTGCAAAGTAAAGGGGGCTGCTGTAAATTAAAGGGGGGGTCTGCGATGTAAGAGGGGGCCTGAATTGTAAAGCGGGGACAGTGATGTAAAATGGAAAAATGGAGCTGTGATGTAAAGAGGAGCACTGTGATGTAAATGGAGGGGGGGGGGGGGGGGTGGTTGGGAATTAATTAGGGCACTGTGAGGAGGGTATAAAAATAGTGCAGCGCTGAAATAATGACAATATGACAGAAAAATAGTCACTAAAAGTCTTGATCATAAGAACGTATCCAGTGTCAGATGTGAATTCAGAATTGGTGATCCGTGTGGAAATGGCTGGAAAACGCACTCACCAGAAGTAAGACACATAAACGCAGTGTGTATTTAAAGCTCATGGGTCATCAATCCAGAGGGAAGTAAAGCTGGTCCGGTTACAGGAATGGTGGGTCCCTCCTCCGTAAATGCAGCAACAGATCTTCCTTCTCACGATTAGAAGTAGAATTCCAAGATCCAGGTTCTGCAAGCAAAAAGCTCCTCAAGGGAGTTTTAGGGAAGGACACCCATAGTGAAGTAGGTCATAAAAGGCAGCTTTATTCAAAATAGTGATATCCAATTCAAAGCAGGCAGGTATCGTACAGATGTGTCAGCAAGACAACTAACCCTGGCACTTCGAATAGTGGCCGCCGGGCCTCCACGTGGCTCCGGCGGCGTAGCGTCTCGACGTCCAGGCTCCTCCTTACGCGTTACGTGCGCACGCACATCTTCAGAGGTATGGAACCCATACCCATGCATTTACGGAGGAGGGACCCACCATTCCTGTAACCGGACCAGCTTTACTTCCCTCTGGATTGATGACCCATGAGCTTTAAATACACACTGCGTTTATGTGTCTTACTTCTGGTGAGTGCGTTTTCCAGCCATTTCCACACGGATCACCAATTCTGAATTCACATCTGACACTGGATACGTTCTTATGATCAAGACTTTTAGTGGACTATTTTTCTGTCATATTGTCATTATTTCAGCGCTGCACTATTTTTATGCTATTGCTTTTAAGTTTTATTGGTTGCTTAGAGTGCTCAGCCGCTATCAGGATTAGCGCTCACTGCTGTTGTTTTCTTATTTACTGTGAGGAGGGTGTTTGATGTAAAGGGGGGACTGGATGTAAAGATGGGCTCCTATTAAGTTAAGGGGGGCTCTGTGATGTAAAGAGGGGCTGTGATGTAAATGGAAGGGGGACATTGATGTGATGATGACACTGAAGTAAAGAGGGGACTGTGATGTGACAGATTTGAGTCTCAGAACAAACATGAGATTCAGATCTTTGCTGGAAGTAGCTGTTACTTATTCATTACCCCTGTTCTATAGTATTGAAGCTCTGCTAAAATTACAGCAATAATCAGTCAAATAGACATTGTACTATCTACCTTGATTTTCATAGCCTTGCCTTCATTTTCTTGTTCCAGCAGCTGTGCAGGGTGTCTGGACAGAACTGTGCAGTCTATTAGACAGCTGTAACACTCAGTGCTTTCAATAATCAGCACTGAGTAACATCACTGGTCAGACACATCACCTCTCTATCTCCGCAATGCAAGTCTGAAGACATATGATAAGAGGTGTGGCTGCATACAGTACTGGAAGGGAAGAGGAGTAAGCTGCAGTTTCAAAACAAAATTTCAGAAAAATTTATTTTAAAGCATTTTCCAGCAAAAAAACAGCCACAATGGGGGATACAAAACCATTTAGAGATAAAAGGTGCAAAACTTAACCACTCCAACCCCTTAGGACATACCCATACTCCTCAGGTTGAAGTGGCTGTACTTGGTGGCTGTGGCTACGTTTGCAGTCATCATCTCAGTACCAAAATTTTCAGCCAGTGATGGGATTTTCTGTAGACATGATCTGAGCGGCTCTACAGCTGCCCGAACACTTCTACAGGGCATGGAAGGGCCCCCCTTCCACTGCCGCCTTTACAGGGTTCTCCCAAGTAATTGCTGAGGGGAGGAAGGTACATCCACTTTGTGATGCAAGAAAGCAGATGCGACAAGGATTTTGTCAGTTTCAGCTTGTTTGTTGCTTGTACAGCATCTTATCAGACTGATCTCCATTTGGTCAGATGCTTTAAAGGCCAAATCTCTCCATAAAGAGGTCCTGTCACAGCCCATGCTAGCACAAGGGATATTGTTCATTCCTTGTGATAGCTATAAAGTTCATTAAGAAAAAGTTTAAAGGAACAGTGTAAAAAAACAAAAAACTTTAAATAAAGCATTATAAAAAAAAAAATGTTTTAAAGCGCCCTGTGTCTCTTTACCCTATGTAAACAGTGATCGCACCACATGTGAGGTATCTCTGTGAACGTCAGAGTGAGAGCAATAATGTCAGGGCCCGACCAGTGTAAGCTGGTAACCTGTAAAGGCTTTTAAAGCACCTAAGGAGTTTTTAAGTTACCGTAGTTTGTCCCATTCCACTGGCGTTTGTAATTTTAAAGTGTGACATGTTAGGTATCTATTTTCTCAGCATAACATCATCCTTTTATCGTTTGCTAAAAATGGATATTATATTGTGTTTTTTGTGTACTAAAATTCATTAAAATGTAGTTTTTTCCTTTTAAAAAGTTGTGTTTTAAAAATGGCTACGCAAATAGCATGTGACAAAAAAAATGCAACAACTAGCATGTTAATCCCCACTCCAATCTCCATTGTCCACTACTGTGGATGTTTTGTTGGGGAATAAAGAAGCACAAATAAGTTATGTGAACGTGTAGGAATGTGTCCGTGGATTAAAGAGCAAAATGTATGTAGTTTTATTTGTCGCTGAGAATGATTGCAGATTGCGGCACTAATCTTACTTGTAAACCTGTCTGCCTGTCAGCCGATGTCCTGGTCAAGTTAAGGCCAGCTTTTCTAACACGTGCCGTTCTACAGCTAACCTACAGCAGTGACAAGCTGGCTTAGCCACAGGAACATGGCTTTGACTTTCACATCAAAGCCTGTTAATTCTTAGGTAATGAGTAATATTGTTTACATTCCTTAAGTGCAAGCCACTGCTGAGTTAATTTTAGCTCCAAGCCAATTTTTAGGGTCATACATACTGTATATTATTACACAGGCATTAAAGTGTTACTAAACCCCGGACCCTGCATTCATTATATCTGGTCTCCCACAGTACACAGAACATGGAAATGCAATTATTTTAGTAAATATAAACTGCTAAATACCTTTTCTCATCAGCAGTTAGAGCAGTCTCGTGACTTCTGTCAGTGTTCAGCAGAGCACTGGTTAAAACTTGTAGGAGTAGTTTGCTTTCTGCTCTAGGAGGAGGCAGAACCCCCGACCTCTGTCTGAACAGTGCTGATTGGCCCTGTGCTGATCACATGCACTCTCCCAGGGGGGAAAAAAAACCTCTCTAGCAATGCACACCAAACTGAGCATGTGCAGAGTGTCTCCACACAATATGTCTTATCAGGAGATAAGAGGGGTGCACTGGAAGAATGGGAGGATCAGGATCAAACAGCATTTTTACACAATGCAGAGGATTAAGCGCTTAGATGCCTCAGTGAGTATAACCAGCATGCTTTACTGCATATACAGACTGATTTTACTGTTGTGGGTTTAGTAACACTTTAAATGTTTGCATATGTAAGGGTGATTTTTAATGTTTGAAGCTGTTGAGCTTGTTTGTGAATGCTGTTTCTGCCAATTGCATATTACTTTTTTTTTCATGTTGGCACTGTCACCCTTCAGGTTCACTCTTGTTCATTGTTTTACTTTGCATTGGATGTGAGCTTATATTCCAACTGACATTATTAATTTGATGTCTTAAAGGACTTGTGAGGAGCCGGCTTCCATCACGCCACATGTCTGGGCTGATGACATCACTAAATGGCCAGTAAGTGTCATATGATTGGATGGAGTGCCATACTGATGGCTAAATGATCCCATCAGTGTTCTCATTATTGCTCTTCTTGCTCTAGATATGTACGTACCAGTCCAAAAATAACCACACTGGATTCAAGCACATGGACTGTGAAATCAAAGGACGGCCTTGCTGTATTGGTACTAAAGGAAGGTGAGGGTGCTGGCTAATGATAGGTATAGGAGCAGGAAAGTGTGACTAGAGAATGCAGACAATATGACTGTTTTATTGGGAACATTCATTTGATGATGCTTGGGCATGTTTTGTAAAGCGAAAATATTCCCGATACTTACATTTTATCTAAAACCAAAACCTTTTTTTTGTCCAGTTTTTATTGCTGTCTGTCACCTTTAGAGAGATTTACTCTCAAATTGTCCTGGGACTAGAAGTGAAGGAAATCCCTAACTTTTGAGTTGTCAGCAGAGCAAGAATAGAGGGGGAAACCTTTCAATGGGAAAACTCGTTGCTGTGACAGCTGTCAAAGGTTATTAACTTTTCACTTTTGGAGAGATTCCTGTAGTGTCTATGAAGGGAACTCTTGCTAATGGGACACAAATGATGAAAAAGCCTTATGTGGATTTTAACAATTCCATACCTTTATCCAAAATAGAATTATATTAAAGAATAAATTCATCCTTTAAAAAAAAATAATAAATGCTCAGGTTTTTGGAGGAAAAAATGTGTATTTATGAACATTTATCAACATTGCACCTGTGCTCAGTGGATCATGTTTGCAATATTAGGCTCATGCAGACTCTTCCTACAGCTCTGTGCCTGTACCTCTGCATGGGCTGTCCATTTCAGAGCTGCAGTAAAAGTGAATGAACTACAAGAGCGCTGATCAGCACACACACAGGACTTTCTTCGTTCACAGATCTCTATGAATAAATGATGTGGCTATGCAGGCTGAGCCCCTCAGCGTCGTACTAATTTTAATATAAGACAGCAGCTGCAAGGAAGAGAACTCCTACCCTCTGACATTAGGGGGATGGGGGGGTTGGGCGAGGAGGGAAGCTGCATATCAACATGTTACATTCTAAATGCAGGTGTAACATGTTACTAAAGGTGAACTTATTCTTTAACCAGTTGCTGCCCTGTCATTAGCAAAATGATGGCCGATCGGGACTTTTGTCGATCCGGGTGGCCGTCATATAATGTCCTCCCATATCGCTACGCCGAGATGTCACTGGCTATCTATATAATTTTTTTTTTTTCACACTGTCACCAGTCAGTGTCCCTGATCCCCGACACACCATTTATATGATGATGCTGTACTGCACTGGTGACAGTATGTTAAAAGAAAAGGGTGAAAATTTTTTTTTTCATTTTCCAAAAAATTACAACTTCAAAAAACTTGCCATGCCTCTTAAATACCTCAGACTGCCTACTTTCCAAAAAGGGGTAATTTGGGGGATATCTATACTGTCCTTACTTTTTGGGCCTCAGAAAATGAGAGAGGCTATCAGTACAGCAGGATTGATCATTTTTTAGATATATACCCTATTTTGTGCACTCTATAACTTTCCTACAGACTCAATAATATACACTAATTTGGATTATTTTCACCAAAGACATGTATCAGTGTACATTTTGGTCAAATTTATGAAGAACAATTATTTATTTGCAAAATTTTATAACCGAAATGAAGAAAAACTTGTTTGTTTTTCAAAATTTTTGGTCTTTTTACTTTAACAAAAAATAAAAACACCAAGTGGTGATTAAATACCACCAAAGGAAAGCTCTAGTTTTGTGAACAAAATGATAAAATTTAGTTTGGAATCAGTGTTGCATGACCGCGCAATTGTCATTCAAACTGTGAGACAGCTGAAAATTGGCCTGGGCAGGATGAAGGTATAGTGCTGGGTATTGAAGTGGTTAAATAAAAACCTTTACTATGGAGGCTGCTATCTTGTATATTTCTCAAAATGCTAAGTCCTTGCCTGTCATACCCTTCTAGTAGCTTGAATACATAGGCCTGGAATTAAGAATATTTTAGTTTCTTTGTATAGCAGAAAGGGTTACAATTTCTCCAATGGAAATCTGTGGATGTTCAACACCTCATTGGTTGAACTTTACTTACACCTGTTTGATTAGAACATATTTGGCTATTTATGGGATAAGAACTTAACTTTCCTGATCACATGCTCCAGAATGATTTCTCAGAAAGCATTGATGCCAAAAACAGCCAGGCAACTAGTATTTTCATTAGTCAAGGATGCTGTGAATTAGGAATACAGGAAAGATGGACCCTAAATCTTTCAGGCAGCACAGATATTTAAGCATATGTCTAGATAAAAAACCATGTTGTGTCTGATAGGCAGCACCATCTGTCAAATTCACCCTTGAAGTCAATGGGACCCTGTGCGCAACCATCTGCAAAATGAAACTGTGGCAATTACAATGTAGTAGTTCATTGTACAATTCCCCTGGGGTTTGAAAAAAAAAAAATGCCTCCTGAATGCCTGTAAATGTAATGTCAACTAGGCAATGGATTGCTTCACAGAGGATGGTAAAGTCTGCCGACCATGTGACTGAAGCCTTATAGAGTTATAGGAACAAAGGTCCCCAGTGGAGACTTTCCCTCACCTCTCGCTTTGATGACATTCCCTCACCCTCTGTCTTCATGAATGGTCAGCAGGACAAATAAAGGGGTGAATCGACCTAGCAGGGACACAGACAAAAATATAAACTCGACAAAATAGCACACCCTTTTCTACCGTATACAAAACTAAAATCATTTGTGCCTTTTACACCTAACTTATCACCAGACTAACAAATTGGCTAACTACAACCCCTCTTATGCACTACACCCTTCACAATATCGCATTTACTCTAAGGTGCATATTTTAATAGAACCGGCCAGTCCTTAAGGAACGTCCATAAATTTGACAAGTCCAGTGTGCAAAAAATAAATTGTATCCAACCACAGCAAAGAATAATTCTCCTGATCAACAAACCCAACCCATTGGGCTCCTGAACCAGGGCAAAGTCTCTAAATTCTAAACTTGGTCAGCCCCTCACCATTACACGGTGGGGTTGATTTACTGAAGGCATTTAGGCTGTGCAATTTGCAAGTGCCGTGCACTTATTTTCCCCAGCACATTTTTGCTTGCACATGATTGGATGAAGGAAATCGGCAGAGCTTCACTATATTTTCGAAGCTCTAGGGAAGATGAGTGCAACTGCACTTGCAAAGTTCAGTCTGTTTGCCTTTAATAAATGCACCCCAGAGTGTTGCTGGACCTCCTTACTGGGTTCCTCGACTTTACATTGTGGGATATTGGGGGAGTATGGCACATCTGCAGCTTGGTGCTTAAAGCGGTTGTAAACCTTTTATTTTCGTAACTTAAAACAAATTTTATACTTACCTGCTCTGTACAATGGATTTACATAGAGCAGTCCCCACCAGCACAGTTTGCTCCTCCTCTTCTCGGAGTGCCCCATAGCAAGCCTCATGCTATGGGTGCACTTATGCGGTTCACTCCCAAGCTGGTCTGTGTGCATCCATAGACACACACAGCGCGGCTTGGCCCCACCCCCTGCTCCCTCCTCAGAGGATTTGATTGACAACCACAGGAACAAATGGCGCTTGCTGCCGTCCGAGCCTCATATGAGAAGAGTAAGAGACAAGAAGAGCTACTGCAGGTAGGACAGCACTGGATTGAGAGAAGACTTAGATAATGGAGGAGGGCTGGGGGGAGCTGCTATTGAAAGTTTGTTTTAATTTTTTTATCTCAATGCAGATAACGCATTAATGTAAAAAAAAAAACATTTTGCCTTTTGAACCAATTTAAGCCAAATTGGATGCTGTGTGCTTTTACTTTTGGGAGCTCTCTGGGCAATGAAAAGAATGAAACTTTGAGTGGTAGGTGGAGATGTGTTGTAATCTCTGCTGTTGTGGGTTTGTATTCGTTAAATATTTGTGGTGGACATACATTTGGGGTGCTGCCCACTACATCTTACACTTATTTTTAGCCCAGATCTAGTGATCGTCGCTCTGCAGACCGCCAGCCAAAAAATGACTGCTTCCTAACACACAAGTGCATTGCAACCCTATTCCTTCCTATGGGAAAGCGAGGCATCAAATGTTTATTTGGAGTATGATTTTCCCATAACAATGAATGCTATACTTGGAAAGGGAGACTTCAAATACTCACTTGCCTTTCCTGCTGCCCACGCCATCAAATGCCCCTTTGATCTGAGTATTCTTCCGCACTAGCACTGTTACACTTGGAGTGTCACTTTCTAGGGTCCCCTGAAGCTCTCACTGGTTCCTCCTTTAGATTGCCACCTGTCACAGGAGACAGTGACATGGAGTTTAACAGAAGATACCAGTGAGAGCTGTAGGAAACACTGGAGATAACACTCGGTTTCAGTGTGGACTTCAGATTTCTCAGGATCAGAACCGGTGACTGGTGGTGCAGGAAGTAGAAGAGGTCTGTATGTACGATCTTCTATTACAGGTATAGTTTGATTAAAAATATTTTGTAAAGCAACAGAGTTGTTTTAAATAGCAGGGGACAAAAACCCATAAAATCAACCTGATCTGCTCTTCCCTCTGAACTACGAAGTATTTTGCGCCTTCAGGTTAGTGATACTGAAGTAATACTCAGCTTAAAAAAAAACAAAAAAAACAAATGTGTCATACTTATCTGCTCTGTGCAGCGGTCTTGCACAGAGCAGCCCCGATCCTGCTCTTCTCGGGTCCTCTGCCGACTCTCCTGGCACCTCCCCCTGCTCAGTGCCCCCAGAGCAAGCAGCTCGGTCCTGAGCCGCCTTGGTGTGTCCATAAGACACAGAGCATGGCTTAGTTCTGCCCCCCCCCCTTCATTGGCTGTGATTGGCAGCAGTTGGAGCCAATGGCTTCTGCTGCTGCTGTGTCTCAGCCAATGAGGAGGGAGAGGCCCGAGAGAGCAGAGGGTCATGTACACAGTGCTAGATCAGGATTGGGTAAGTGTTAGGGGGGGTGGGAGGCTTAGGGGGTAGCTGCATACTGAAGGAAAGTAATTGCACACCATCCAGCTTCCATACATAGCCCAGTGATAGCACTCCTGTAGTCAGTAGTGGAGTACATGCTGATAGTGGAAGTGAATGATCTCCACAGGAGAGAAAGATTGTTCTTTTCCATAAAGACTGAAAACTGAAACAAGACATCTGCTGCCCCATTTTAACAAATCATCCCCTAAGTGATTATTCCAGGAAGACTGGGAAAGAATGGTTGCTACAGACACACTTTTCTTTTTGTGATTGTAAATCCGTTATTGTGTTAGTAAGAACATCGGACAAATCCTTTCCCTGACAGACCCACGCTATCGATTTTGATGTTTTTCCACTGACCTGTTTAATATCCGATTATTAGTAGGTTGGTATATGCTCTGAGACTGCTCAGATTGAATGCTCTGAGACTGCTCAGATTGAATCAGTCCTGTATTTAATAAAATAGCAAGTGTCACGGCTGCCTACACGCCATCGATTTTGATGTTTTTCCACTGACCTGTTTAATATCCGATTATTAGTAGGTTGGTATATGCTCTTAGACTGCTCAGATTGAATCAGCCCTGTATTTAATAAAATAGCAAGTGTCACGGCTGCCTACACACCATCTGCACTTGTCTTTAAATACTGTGATGAGGTTTCCGTGCCACCAAAATTTTGCTCACACTCATGAGTGTGTGCTTGTATGCTGTACGTGCCAAGGATGCTTTGTAGTCTCAGTGTAGCATTGCTTTCCTTGCATGAGCAAAACACAAGTTTACATTAAAGCTTATCTGAACCACAAAAGCCTTAGATTGCAGCTCACAAGTTCTTAGATGAGGAACGTTAAATACACACAACCTATCCAAGGGTGACATCGCTCACTTACTGTACTGTATCCATAGAGAAGCAGAGTTGTTGCCTTAGGACAGGACTACAGAATCCCTCTAAAACAGTTGTTCTCAACCTTCCTAATGCCGCGACCCTTTAATACAGTTCCTCATGTTGTGGTAACCCCCAACCATAAAATTATTTACCAAGTAATTATAATTCATGAAGTGTCGTTTTCCCTCCAATACTGCTGCTTTCAACACAGTAGCTGCTTTCAACACAGCAGCTGCTTTCTACACAGTAGTTGCTCTTTACACATTGGAAATATGTGTTTTCTAATGGTCTTAGGTGACCCCTGTGAAAGGGTCATTCGACCCCCAAAGGGGCGCGACCCACAGGTTGAGAACCACTGCTCTAAAAGATAGATGGGTGGGTCTCTGTAGTTATAATTGCAAGCATTGATATTGGTTAGACTGCAGTATTTGAAATTATCGCCTGAAAGGATTTCTGGCAAGATTAACAGGTATTTTGTGTAAATATTAATTATGAAATACTTAAATACTAAAGATTTTTTTTATTATTATGATTGAAGTTATTAAATACTAACCACTTTCTATAGTATATTTAACAGACCAGAAGGAACCCAATAAATGGCAATTTTTAGTGTTTACATACATACAGACAAACTATTCCAGCATGCAATAATAGTCCCTTTCCTTCAGTAAAGAACCATAGTGCATCCTATCAGGTTCAACATACACAATGAATATTACCCCTGGTTATTTCCTCGGATTTATTCTGTACCTTATGTGGTAAGATTGGCAATAGTTGCACCAAAATGTTTGTTACATGGCATTCTCTCCCTCCATGTATGGACAGTAGATGTTTGTTTGGATATTGGAGGATTCTTTATGGTTTTAAGCGTGCTAAAGTGTTACATGATAATTTCTTTTTCTTTTAGTTGTGAAATAACAACACGGGAGTATTGTAATTTCATGCATGGATATTTTCATGAAGAGGCCACACTTTGTTCACAGGTCAGTGCTCATCACTTTGTAGTTAGTTTTTTGTTTTTTTGTTTTTTTTGTTTTTTGACACAGTAATGGTTTTGAAGTCCATATGCTAGTCATGATCACTTGACTGACAAGCCATAGGGACTTTGTAATTAGACTCTTTTCCTATTCAGAGATGATAGAGAAGCGCTTGTCTTCACGATTCATTGCTGTAAATCAGCTTCTCTTTTTCACAGGTCCACTGTTTAGATGAAGTTTGTGGTTTGCTGCCATTTCTGAATCCCGAAGTGCCAGATCAGTTTTATAGACTGTGGCTGTCGTTGTTCCTTCATGCTGGGTAGGTATTTTTTTTAATAGATTTTAGATGCAGATAAAGTTTATGCTGTGTAATATCAGAGCAAATGTAGCTTTTCAGCTTTCAACGGGGGACATGGGAGTAATGACAGGTTCCAAGCCTTCTCTACGCTATGGAAAGAATAAGGGCTGTTCTGGGAAGAGGTATTTTAGATAGTCTCTGAACTAATGGACTTCACAATCCCCCTTTTAAGCCCAACATGCACTCTCAAACCTCCAGGCCTTTCCAAGACCCAATTCTAATTACTACTGCATGTTCTAACAGCAGCTGAGCAAACAGTTGCCAACGTCTGGAAATCACCTACCCCGTCCTTGCATGAACCAGGTCACAGATTACTTAAGTCATGCTCCATGAAAAGATAGCCAGAATCACTGGACACAACAGGTAAGTAATTAATCATTTGGCAACCCTGGGCCTCTCATTATCTGCCAGTGGGATTTGACCTAGGCCTTCTGGCCCTTTTGAAAGGAAGTGCACCTATGGGATACGTCTGTGCTGCTCCCAAGTCCCCTCTTTCTACTGCCTTTACCCCCAAGGCCTTCTTGTCGTATACTGTTTCACATTCCTAGCTACACCCCTTTCTTCATCCTGGACCTACCCGCCCAGTAGTCCTAGGCCCTCCCCAGACCATCTTCAGTTAATCTTTTAAGCTGGGTACACATTATAAGAAAATCAGAAGAAAATTTCCATACAAGGAACGATCATACGATTTTCGTAGTGTGAACACTGCTTTTGAAATCCAATTCAGACTTTACAAATGAAAATTTCCAAAGGGACAAATGCCAACATTTTTCTCCTACATGAACAAAACTAAAGATTTTTGTTCTTTTTGTACAAGAAAAATTAGATAAAGACTGTGCATGATCAGAAACAATAAACAAACGTGATCTACATTGCAATGTTTCTATGTCAAACAAAAAAAAAAAAGCCTTTGTCTGAGAATTTTCATAAAGGGAGTACCATCCTCAGGTTCCGCTTGCTGTGGCAACATTGAGGAAAACCGTTTGCCTGATTTTCTTGTGTACCCAGCTTTACACTTGAAACTTTTGACCCCATTCTTCCTTTGCATTCTCTTGTGACAATGCACTTTGAGCCATGCTATTATATTCGGAGACGGAATCCTCTATGCAGACGTTTCCAGATTGTAATGCCTCATGTGTATCACACGTATTCTTCATTGTCTTTACAACAGCCTGCACTGTAACACTGCTTACTTGTCTAAAATGCTAATAAACACATTTAGTAACAAATAGGTTGGGGCTCACTTAAAAATCTATAAATTTGGTTGGTCTATCGATCTATAATTTGGTCTATCTCTGTGGATAGAGAATTTCATTTGGTTGTTGCAGTATCCTAGAAGAGTATTTAGTCTGTTTCTAGTATAGACTGGTACCTATAAGATGAAAATCAAAATACTTTTTATGTTTTTATTTTTCTTTTGCCTCTGTACTCCGACTAATAATAGACAGGCATGGTTTAGCTGCACTGAAATGTGAATAGGGCATTTTATATCAAGAATCAAAGCTACACAATGCTTTTTTGCAGACATTTTAAATATTTTGTATTGACAGTATTAAAACTGAAATATCTTCAGCAATGAAATATTGATAGATGGCTGTCGTCTGATGTGTCCTTTTATTTTTTTTTCAGGGTAATTCATTGCTTGGTTTCAGGGATTTTCCAGATGACAGTCCTACGTGACCTAGAGAAGCTGGCAGGCTGGCTTCGTATTTCCATCATCTACATCCTGAGTGGCATCACAGGGAACTTAGCCAGTGCCTTATTCCTGCCTTACAGGGCGGAGGTGAGTTAGAGTGAACACCTTCCATCTCTACTGACCAGCTGGCACAGTCTTTACTGCCTTCCTTTAAATAGCATTACATTCTCACTGTACATTGACTGATATTTGCTGGTGGTGCAACCAACTCTAGCTTGTTTTGTGACACTCGGGCCATGTAGAGTTTAAAGCCTAACTCCAGGCAACTAAAAGCTTACCCCTTGCAGTGGGGCTGTCCCTACACTACCAGGGTTAATTGCTCATTTAGGTCTAGGTCAGGGGTGCCCACTGGTGTGCCTGTGATCTCCTGCTCTGGGATGGTGAGTCAGCAAGCCCAGATTGCGGGGTGCCAAACAGTCATCCCAGTGCTGTCAGTTTTACGCAGCGTTTTACACACACACACATATATATATATATATATATATATATATATATATATATATATATATATATATATATATATATATATATATATATATATTGTACATTCACATCAGTCCCTAACCCTCAAGGGGTGTACAATCTAAGGTCCCTAACTCACATTCATACATACACATACTAGGGTCAATTTAGACAGGATCCAATTAACCTACCAGCATGTCTTTGGAGTGTGGGAGGAAACCGGAGCACCTGGAGGAAACCCACGCAAGCACAGGGAGAACATGCAAACTCCATGCAGGAGGCGCCATGGTCGGGAATTGAACCCATGACCCATTTACTGCAAGGCAGACGTGCTAACCACTAAGCCACTGTGCCGCCCCATAATAGAAGTCTATGGCAAAATGCAGCTAAACCTCAGGAAAGCATTGCTCTGCATAAACAGCAGCACTTCTGTGTGAAAGCAGCCTTGGGCACCTTTCACACTATTGGTCTGATTGGGTGCACCTATTTGTTTTTCAAGCAGATCTGATCAGACCCTTCATGGAGCAGCAGATGTAAACGGAGTCACCTACCTCTGATCTGATCTGCTAAAAAAAAAATATCTGGGCGAATCAGAGGACTCATAGAGCAGAGTGGACTGTGTCCGTGTCCACACTGCAGATGCAAAGCCGACATGAACCTGTCATCCACTTGCTGCGCTCTGCGCAGCAGGGGATCCGCAGACAGATCTTCCATTGAACAAGTGGATTCCTCCCCAAGTGAAAGGGGCCTTATAGGGGGCTCAGGATAATAAGGGCTCCTTTACATTTCCTTGTGGCCCGCGGCCAGTTACCAGATCATTTAAGTGGCCCTCACTCTTCAAAACGTTGAACACCCCTGGTGTAAGTGAACAAAAAAAAGAAAATTTACCCAATCCTCCACTCCTCCCTGCAGCCTCTTCTTCCCTCACACTCTAGCGGTCTAGGATTGGGATGTCATCAAGGCCAAAGCAGGGTCCATAGCCCTGCATTTGACATGATTCCTCTCAGGGACAGTCCACAGCCTGAACATGGGGGAGCACCATCTGCCGAGGGAGCAGAGGATCAGATAAGTGAAAGTGTTTCTCCTCTCCCCTAGACTTAACGAGCAGTTAACCATTACAGCATGGTCGCAGCGCCACTGCAAGGGATAACTTCACATTTTCCTGGAGTTGGGCTTTAACTCTCAGATGCAAACATTTCCTGATTGTGGTGCTAATTGTTTCACACTAAGGCTACTTAGAAGGTGCTGGACAGCCTAAGAAAGATATATTACTTTTGACTATGGGACTTGACACTGAGCAAACTTGAATGTCTGTGTGGATGGGGGAATGCTGCAGGCTGCAGCTTGTTTGTGGCTATGGGCAAGTCCTTCGGGCTCCAGTATATTTGTGTCTATGGGGGAGTGTTATAGGCACCAGTATGTTTGTGCCTTAGAGGAATGTTGTGTACTGTGGATGCCAGCATGGAAGAAACAGTACTTATCACAAAGTAAATCTATCCTGGTCTATCGACTTCCTAATGTCTGTAGGCACTGTAGATTTTTCAGCATATAGAAATTGGAACAGTCTTTTACCACATGTATACCACATCGGTATTTGGGCCAAGCTGGAAGAAACTAGATCCTGACATTGTAGGGTATTTGGGCCAAGCTGGAAGAAACTAGATCCTTACATTGTAGGGTTCAGACAAGGATAGGGTGATCTCTTGCCATCCACAATTCTCATCTATCTTGCCCCAACAGGATTTTGTGAAACCACCCTTATAGTAGAAGGCTGTTCTCATACCCTTCTTTTCATATATGAAGAATGTAAAAAACATAACATTGATGTCTGGTCACTTTAAAATCTCTGTATTTTTACTTATTGCACGATGCTGAATTAGTGTTTCTGTGCCACCCTCCCACCTGAGTCTTCTCCTTGGCACGTGCATTACTCTCCCGTGTCTGACTTTCCAGCTTTCACGTGATTATCCTGAGATTATCTGTCTAGTCTGTCACTAATATATGTGGTCAGACAGCCAGGAGCTGTCAGTCACTCTCACTGGGTCATTGCGCTTTCCCCAGCTGTGAATGTTCATACTGTTCTCTGTTCATAGAGTCAGTTATCTACCTGCTATCTGATCCTTTGTCTCTGTATAATATTTGTGGTTTTTTTTTTTTTTAACAAAAACCTGAAGTTTAGCTTAAAAAAAAAATTCCCTACAGTGTTGACATCTATTGAAGTTTTCTTTAAGATTAATGGCACAAATCCATAGGTACCCAACAAATGCCTTGATGTGTTTCACAACAGGTGTCAATCATAAAGCTTTATGATTAAGCACCTGCTAGTCCAAAAACATATCAAGGCATTAGCTGTGAATTTTTAACTTTTGCCTTTGATTTTGAAGTGGCTGTAAAGGTACAAGATTTTTTATTTTTTTTTACTTTTTAATGCATTAAGATTAAAAATCTTCTGTGCACAGGATTCCCCAGCCCCCACCTTATAGTTACTTGAGCCCAATCTCGATCCAGCACTGCGCTCGAGAACAGTGGCTCTCTTCGCACTCTTTACTTACTGGACACAAAGGCAGCAGCAGAAGCCATTGACTTCTGCTGCTGTCAATCACAGCCTGTGAGGAGAGAGTGGGGGACAGAGCCGCGCTGCTGTGTGTGTGTGTGTGTGTGTGTGTGTGTTTATGGACACACAGCGCGGCTATGGATCAAGCCCACACAAATGCCCCCATAGCAAGTGGCTTGCTATGGGGGCACTTAGCAGGGGGGAGGAGCCAGGAGCCCAGATTAGGAGGATCGGGGCTGCTCTGTACAAAACCATTGTACGGGTTAGTCTGACATGTTTGTCATTTTTAAATATTTAGGTTTACAATTACTTTAATTAGAATGTAGCCCTGCTTTAAAGTGAAACTATATACAGACAAGTTTAAATGGGTGTATATGTAAAATGAGTAATCAGGTGTTTGCCTTGAATTCTGTTTCAAAACTCTATTTTTTTTTTTTTTGTTATAATTTAACCTTTTCCCTTCTGTCCCCTTGTCTGCAGGTTGGCCCTGCCGGATCTCAGTTTGGCCTCTTGGCATGCCTTTTTGTTGAGCTCTTCCAGAGCTGGCAGATCCTGGCCAAGCCATGGAAAGCCTTCTTCAAGCTTTTTGGCATTGTCCTCTTTTTGTTCATGTTTGGACTGCTCCCATGGATTGACAACATAGCTCACATTTTTGGCTTCATCAGTGGTCTACTTCTGTCCTTTGCCTTCCTACCATATATTACTTTTGGTACAGCTGACAAGTATCGCAAGAGAATCGTGATAATCATCTCTCTGGTGGTTTTTATTGGTCTGTTTGCTTCTTTAGTCATCTGGCTTTATGTACATCCAATTAACTGGACATGGATAGAATACTTGACCTGTATCCCTTTTACCAACAAGTTCTGTGAGAAGTATGATATAGACCACGTGCTCCACTAGTGCCAAGCTTTTCTACAAGATAGTAGACCTCTAAGGTACGGTAAAACATGGAGAACTTGAAGATACTCCTAGACTGAATTATGGTTGGTCCATAACAGATTGTTCAGCATTAATATGAATATGCGTGATGTTCAACATTTCATACTAGAAGTGAGAGTTATCTGAGTCAGTCCTAAGACCAGTCCACATCTCTGCCTGCTTCTGGATTTACAAACTGGACTGTGAAATTTACTTGGAGGAGATGAGTCTAAACTGACTTTTAGATATGGATTTCTCTCGAACTCTACAGCTCAGGAATTACCCCTCACTTCATTTACTGACCATTCATGATGGGTATCCTCAAATGGTGTTGTGTGAACAGTTAACAGAAGACTTTGGGTTGTTTGAGACCTTTTACATTGCTTTCCTTGTTATTTGACCTTTTCCTGATAGAGGTGCCTCTAAGGGAGACATTGGGCCTGATACTTTTAGCAGTTGCAATATATACTATTTGTTCAGCATCATTTTAAAGCAGTATTATGAGCTGCAGTGGGTAATAATACCGTGTGGTTCTTTAAAGAGAACATTTCTACCAGTGCTCAAACACCTGAGATTTTTCCCTTGTTGGTGACAGACATTACAGTGCTGTTAGGTGTTCATATGTCCGGCCATCTTTAGCACCCTGAATTGGCAGAACTTTAGAAATCTTTAAGCTTTGTCTTTCGAAAGGGAAGCAGCATAACCACAGTGAACATGACAGCCCCTCACCCCCACTTCTGACAGTAGGTATTAGGCAGGTTTAGGGGACGCCCACTTACAGATTCGTACAGAAAAGATACTGACGTGGAACATCAACTGGATTGACATGACAAGAGGTCACCATTGTCCCTTCCTGCTTGATTGATATCAGTTTGTAAGCACTTCAGCATTGGGCAGGTGGTTCCCAGAAAGGACGCTCCCCACTCAACTCACTGGAGATATCTACACTTCTGGGTGGCATGCCAGGCAGCCAACCCATGAAGGAGGGGTTTGGGAATACTTAAAGTGGTTGTAAAACCTCACATATACCCAGTGAAGTGTTTGGCCTCTTACATAAGTTGTACCTGTCTGTTTACAGCCATCTTTCCCATACATCCATTCAAAGTGCAGAATATACACAGGATCTCCCATCTTTGAAAGTCGGGGTGGGGAGCTGAAGTTACATCAGTGAGGAGAGCTCTGAGATCTGATTGGAGAGAAGGCCCCCCCCCCACCCCCCTTTCACACAGCTCCCAGGAGCAGAGTTGAGGCTGTCAGTCACAGACCGTTCCCTCCCCTGTCACCATTTTTCTGTTTGTCAGGAACATTTGTCAGAAATGACTTGTACAGATGGCGGAGGAACAAGGCAGCCGACAGAAATGATACTTAATGCCATGGACTGAGAGAAGTACACCCTATAGAGGGATACACTTTGTTCATATTTCATGTCTGATGTTAACCACTTTAAAGACAAAGTAACTGCTGAACCTGGAAATACACATGATCAATACTGGTCAGCACACTGAATACTGCTGCTTATTATATTGGATCCTTCTTCAGGAAAAGGTGGTACAATGAAACACTAGGTAGAGAACACTAGACCCACCCTATCTTACTACTCTATTGGGGTTTTTTTTTACACGTTTTATCAATACGAACGAATACTTGCCACTTAAAAATGGGCAGTCATTCATTTGCATTCTACTTTCTAGTAAACCGCACTCCATATAAAATAAAAAGTGGTAGATATACCTATCTTCCGAACGAAATGGAAATCAACCACGTACTTGATTAAAAAGCCTTTTTATATCCCAATCATTTATCAATCATCTTCAACTTCATGTGCAGTCACCAATCTCAAAGTATGCACCATTAACAAATCTGTTTGGCTTTTAGACACATCTTACTATCCCTTATCAAACATTCTACATTGTTTTATCTCAACTATTTCTTTAGTGTACTGCTCTCTTTATAGACAAGTGATGTATCCTGTCCTAGAAGGATATCTGTGATCTATACTTCTATAAATGTATCACCCTGTTAGGCTGACCATACACTATACTGTACATTATAATGGTGCAATCTCCTTTAGCTCTAACATCAGATTTGTAGTTAAAGGGCTCTCCCGATTCAATACTAAATAAATGGATGGTTTGTTTGTTTTTTTCCCCCGTAATATATAATTTTGGTAAAGCTAAATGAAGTTCTACAATCAGATTCTATAAGGTATGGTCAGCTTTAGACTGCTGCAATTCTTACCTGTACTATTGTGCACCTTTTCATGGTATTTAGCATTATTACTGAGTCATTGGCAGTTGTGTCATCTACTCCCATAGGCCATTTAGGGAGGTCACCTGACCAATCTGTGCTTTCCACAACTGACACCCCTCCCCCTTCCCTTTTCCCATCAAGCAGCAGTATTGGTGTGCACAGGTGCACTTAAAGTATATCAGAACCTAAAAATTACATTTTGTTTTAGTCTGTGGAGGGACACAAAGTTATTATCAATTGGGTTATAATGCCTATAGGAAGATTGGACAAACTGGCAAAAAAAGATTTAGGCCAACTCTGAATAACCCTTCCTACTCCCAGCATGTCTATTTTTTTATGTCCTAGGAGAATGGACGTCATTTCTTAGCTCTGCTTGGAAAAGTCTTACCAAAAAACCATAGGCTGCTACCTTGTTTTCTGTTCTGCCAGGTGGGTCTTCAGGCCTCATCTGAGACCAGCTTTCGACATAAGGTCCTTAAAGTGTTACTAAACCCACAACCGTAAAATCAGTCTGTATATGCAGTAAAGCATGCTTGTTATACTCACTGTGGAACTGAAGGGGTTAATCCTCTGCATTTTGTAAAAAGGACGTTTGATCCTTTCTTCCCTGATCCCCCCCCTTCTTCCACAGTCCCCAATCCATCTGATAGATCATTGGGAGCAAGCTGTGCATGTTCAGTTTGGTGTGTATTGCTAGAGAGTTGTTTTTTTTTTTTGTTTTTTTTTCTTGGGAGAGTTCATGTTATCCGTATAGGGCCAATCAACGTTGTTCAAACAGAGGGTCAGGGGTCCTGCAGCCTCATAGGACAATTAGGGGAGAATGAAGACTCCTCCTACAAGCTTTAATCAGTGCTCTGCTGGACACTGATAGAAGTCACAAGACTGCTGATGAGAAATATATTATTACTGAAATAATTACATTTCCATGTTGTGTGTACTGTGGCAGACCAGATATAGTGACTGCAGGGTCCTGGGTTTAGTAACACGTTAAGGTGCCTCTTTGAGCTGCAAGCAGTGACCAGTTCCTTTTTGTTTTCAATGGTCGTGTAAGCAGTTTGTTTGCTGTGAGACCTCTTTTGGATGTCCCAAAAGTTAATGGTGTCCTTAAGTGGCTGAGAGAAAAAATAAATAGGATTTTTGTATTCACCATAAAATGCTTTTATTTAATGCCATTGGGGGACATCATCCCTGCTTTACTACAAGCTGAGGTTCGCTGGGAATATGAGGGGTTATCCTGGGCTGGTTTACAATTTTTGCCAGTGTCCAGTTTACCTATAGGCAGCAGTATAACCCAACAGTCATTAAAGTAAACCTCCATTTGTTTTGATGAGTCTGGCTCCCTCCCTGATTTTTTTTATTTTTATTTTTTTATTTGGCTGATATCTTCCACTCCAGTTGTTCAAAATTAAGTGGATATCTGACATCTTGACTGTGCCATACCCAGGCAGAACAATGGGGAAAGCCAATTCTTGGCTTACAATTGGCTTGCACATAGGCACCAGTCCCAAACAAACCCATATAAAATCCATGCTACTTCCCTGGAGTATAGACAAGAAGATATGTGCTAGCGATGCCAAGTTTCCTTTTTATTCACACTTTAAGATCACTAGGACAACCCCATCACATTACCACTGTGGTCCAAAGCTCACCTTCCTTTCGTCTTTTCATCACTTCCTCGCAGCCTGATGAACTGAATGGCACTTGCACCTACTTAATCATTAAACCTTATTATCCCCTCTGGAAACCACAGATTTTGACATGTGCAATACAGAGGCAAGCACACAAAAGATCCTAGACACCTATATTAGTCCTATACTGGAACATCAGGGACCTTCTGCACCTCACCTCTAGTCATGATGCACATATATCAGGGACACTTGTTCTGTTCATTTTTATTGCAGAAATGGACCAAAATCTTTGCACAGCGAATCGAGTATGAATTATGTCACTGTGCAGACACCTGAAAGCTGATCCTACTGAGAATGAGCAAGGGCTTTAGTTTTTTTCACAGAGACTGGAATATTTTTACTATAAGACTTTTGCATGGAACTCTTGGATTTTAATTAAACCCTTTGCTGCGCAACAGGGTCTGCTCTGCAAGTTGTTGCAGACCATATGGAGTGAATGTTCATTTTGTACAAGCGCCGTTCTGATGTCAAGAGACATATATGCAATCAAGGTCATTTTTGATGCTACTTTTGACAAAGTGTTTATATTTAATTTATTTAAAACAAGAATATTTGAATTTCTCTACTCCTGAAACTTTTTGATTCCTACTCTATAGAGAGTAGAATTTTGTAAGACAGTACCTGTTGCAGGTGCTTGACCAAGAAGAACCTGAACTTTGAAATAAAACACTTAACATAAGTTTTCATTTTCTTGTGTATTAGTCTTGTGTATTATTGCTGTAAATTTTACTCACTTAACCTCCAGGAGGTTTTACCCACTTCATGACCTTCTTTTTTTTTTTTTGTTGCTACACAGCACTGTGCCACTTTAACTCCAAATTGAGTAGTCATTCTGCACTGTTTGCAATTGAAATTTGATATAATTTTTTCACACAAATAGAGCTTTCTTTTGGTGGTTTTAAATCTATACTGGGGTTTTAATTTTTTTTTTATTATGTAAATTAAAAGGGAACAAACATTTTTAAAAAAACATTATTTTCTACTTTTTGAAAGTAAAATATATCCAATAAAAAAATTAAAACAAATGTCTTCATAAATTTAAACCAAAATGTATTCTGCCAAGTTTTTGTTAAATAAAAATCCCAATAAGTGTATATTAATTGGTTTGTGTCTACAAATGGTGTATATATACTGGAATTTACACCGCTATGATGCTATACTGGTAATGGCGGTGATCAGCAACTTATAGTGGGACTGTGATAGTGTGGCGGGCAATCTGGCATTAGCTGGATGGTACACTGACACTTATAGTTGAAACTTTTACCATGATCACACAAATAGAGCTTTCTTTTGGTGGTATTTAACTACTAGCCTACAGGGCACTTATACCCCCTTCCTGCCCAGGCCCATTTCCAGCTTTCAGCGCTGTCACACTTTGACAATTGCGCGGTCATGCAACACTGTACCCCTATGAAGTTTTTTATAATTTTTTTGTGACAGCTTTATTTTGGTGGTATTTAATCACCTATGGGTTTTTTCTTAAACCAAAAACCACTGAATTTTAAAAAAAAAAAACAACATTTTTCTTAGTTTTTGTTATAACATTTTGTAAATAAGTGATTTTTCTCCTTCACTGATGTGCGCTAATGAGGCTGCACTGATGGACACCGATAGGTGGCACTGATGGGCACTGATGAGGAGGCACTGGTAGGTGGCACTGATGGGCATTGACAGGCATCACTGATGGGCACTGAAAGGCAGCACTGATATGTGGCACTGACTGGCACTGTTAGGCAACACTGGCAGCACTGATGGACACTGAGATAGGCAGCACTGATAGGTGGCACTGATTGGCATTGATAGGTGGCACTGACTGTCATTGATGGGTGACACTGAAAGGCAGCTTAGATGGGCACTGATATGTGGCATTGATGTGCACTGATATGTGGCTTTGATGTGGCATGGATGGGTACTGGCAGGTCACATGGATGAGCACTCAGAGCTGGCACTGATGGACACTGACAGGTGGCACTGCTGGGGCTACACAGATCATCAGGGCACACTGATCATCAGTGGATGTATTTTTTAGTTTGTAGGAAAGTTATAGAGTTCACAAACTATGGTATAAATCTGAATATTGATCAATCCTGAAGTACTGACAGCCAATCTAATTTCTTGAGGTCCAAGAATGTCAGAACAGTACAGATATCCCCCAAATGACCCCTTTTTGCAAAGTAGACAGTCCGATGTACTTCACAAGAGGCATGGCGAGTTTTTGAAGTTGTATTTTTTTTGTCATAATTTTTCGGAAAATGAAAAAAATTAAAAAACAAAAAAAAAAAAAAAAGACACCAAAAATAACACAAAGAAAAAAAAAAAAAAAACTTAGTTTCGCTATTTTTTTTTTTTACGTATTGTCACCAGTGCAGTACAGCGTCATCATATAACTGGCATGGCGGCGATCAGGGACACTGACTGGTGACAGTATGAAAAAAATATAAATACATATTTTTTTTTTAATTAAATTTCTTTTTTTTAAGAATTTTTTTTTTCCATATTTCACTATGACCAAAATGGTACAATATTACTATAGTAACATTGTACTACTTTGGGGAAGTGATCAGTATTTTTTTTTACTTTGCTATAAGCAAGCATTTACCTGAATGACATCGATTCATTCAGGGTTGGTTTTTTTTTTTTTTGTGCTTAGCTGTGATTTGGCCACAGCTAATCACATGACATGTGCATGTGATTAGCTGTGACCTTTCACAGCTAGACACTAGTATACAATGGATGGCATGAATGAAGCCATCCATTGTATACAACTGTCATGTGACCTGCTGTGATTGGTCACAGCAGTTCACATGGTACCTGCAACGGGGCCGATACTCAGATCTGTCATCGGCCGTGCCCGAGGTACACGGCCAGTGACAGATCGCGCCACTCTGCAGGAGCGCAATCTGCGCATGTGTGGGAGGACACCATATGGCGTCCACCCGGAACGCTGATGACATTTGCCGCCCGCCATTCAGCCATAGGACGGGGGCAGCAAATGGTTAAAGGATATGTGACTTAAAAACTGCACGAAAAAAGCTTCTCAGCGGAGTCTTTGAAGAGCTTGTCAGGTGTTTTTTAGGCGTTTTCCATTGATTTCAATGGGAAGAGGTGGTTTTCTGTGGCTTTTTTCTTTTTTTTTTAACTCCCCAAACATGCCCAAAAGATGCTGCAAGCAGGAGTTTTTACACCGCACCGCAAGCGCAACGCCTCAGTGTGAAAACATACATAGATATACATTCACATACACAGGGAAGCAGTTTTTTCTTGAGCTTTTTCAAGCTTTTTTTAATGCAAAAACGTTTGAAAACCTCCTCAGTGTGAAAGTAGCCTTAGGCTGGCCATAGACGGGCCGTTTATCGGCAAATTGTCAGCCGATAAAAAATCGGTCGTTGCCAATGCTGCCACCAATGTCCACGAAAAACGGCCAACGGGCTGGCCCCACTAATGGCGTGAATATCGGAGTCCACAAGCTATGGTACCAATCATTAAAAATTGATCGCACCTGATTAATCCTGATGTACTGATGGCCTATCTGATTTCTTGAAACATTAACAAGCCAGGACAATACAAATACCCCCAAATGACCCCTTTTTGGAAAGTAGTCCATAGTATTTAGTAAGAGGCATGGTGAGTTGTTTTTTTTTTTTTTTTTTAGCTATAATTTTTTCCCACAATTCTTTGGAAAATGAGTAAAGTAAATACATTTTTTTTTTCACACAATTGTCATATTAACAGGTTATTCCTCTCACACGGCATATGCATACTTGCAACTAAACACATTCTGCTACTCCTCCTAGGTTTGTTCCGCTTTAAGGTCACTTAAGTAGGGCCAGGTAAACCTACAACACGGTGGAAGATCATTTTTCAATAAATACAGTTATGATGGCTTATGTGAGGTGTAGGTGTACTCTGACCCACTTTTATTGGAAATGAAAAGAAAAGTTCAACACCTTGGTTGCTAACACAGTGGATTTCAGTTTCACATAGAAAAATGTGAATAAAAATACCGAGCCACTTGGATCTCTTTCTAGCAGTTGCCTCCGCTTTCTCAGTCTCTCCAGACTCACGCAGCTGTCCTGACTCTCCTAGTCCTGTGGGCAAGTTATCCCTACAATGTGGAGTGCAGCTTTAACCACCCTCGGTGTTCCTCTGGGTTCATCAACTTCTGGCGTCCCTGACACGTGTACCAGCATTAACCACCCTCGGTGTTCCTCTGGGTTCATCAACCTCTAGCGTCCCCAACACTTGTACCAGCATTAACCACCCTCCGTGTTCCTCTGGGTTCATCAACCTCTAGCGTCTCCCCCCCCCCCCGACACTTGTACCAGCATTAACCACCCTCGGTGTTCTTCTGGGTTCATCAACCTCTAGCGTCCCCTGACACATGTACCAGCATTAACCACCCTCGGTGTTCCTCTGGGTTCATCAACCTCTAGCGTCCTCAACACTTGTACCAGCATTAACCACCCTCAGTGTTCCTCTGGGTTCATCAACCTCTAGCGTCCCCCCCCCCCCCCCTCCCTCCCCCCCCCCCCCCCCCCCCCCCCCCGACACTTATACCAGCATTAACCACCCTCGGTGTTCCTTTGGATTCATCAACCTCTAGCGTCCCTGACACTTGTACCAGCATTAACCACCCTCGGTGTTCTTCTGGGTTCATCAACCTTTTTGTGGTTATCCATGGCTACCAAAACATAATTTACAACATTTCATAATAATTTACACATTGCACTGTTAAAATTACCCATACTATCTGTATTTTCTTCCACCATGCCTCTGAGTACCTTTTTTTGGTGTTGGACTTTGCTATTGCACATCTATTCTGGGCCATTCCTTCTTATGAAGTCTAGCAAATGAGGCAGTGTACACACCACTGCTCACCTGCACTTTGGACCGTAGTAGCAGAAATATTCTTTGTCCACCATCAGGGGGAGAGATTTTGGACATGCCTTGTTATCTATGGTTTCACTGACATTTCACCTGGATGCACTCTAGAAGCATTCCAGGAGGGAACGGTGAAACCACTTTCCACATGGTTAACAAACAATGTACAAACACTGTGCCAACCAGTTCCATTTTTGACCAACATTGCCTGTACTACCTCACTGCACCAATTGGTACTTCGCAGTACCACCTTGTCCTACTGCAGTTGGGACACCAAGGTGTACAGGGAGTTTGCTTTTATAAGTTCCACCATTGACATACATGTAAGACACCTCAATGCCTTTCACGTCTAAATACACAACCTTTTTAAGGGACTTTTCCCTTGAAAGAAACAGAGGGGCTCATTAACTGAAACTCAAGATACTGAGACATTTAAAGAGACCTGCACCTCATTGGAGATAGCATTGATCACAGCCTGGTGCTCCCCCAGAGCACTGTCAGGTGCATGTTTCACACTCTCTAGCACACTGCTAGTGAGCCTCTGCAAGTCACTATCAGTGACATTGTCACTCTTACACTCCACATTATTCCTTTGGTGGGCCGTGAACAAAACTTCTGCTATGCACATGTTCTTATCTGGACCTTCTGACTGGAGGGAATTACTCTCCACAGGAGACAACGTGCCCTGGACCACTGGCCACTCTGCGTCCCTCCATGGGGCATAGCAGCAGTTACTGTATATCCACCTCATTGTTACATACAATAGTCTTCTCCAGTAGTGCAAGTACTTCTCTACACCAATCATCCCAGGCTGTAGTGTTTCCATTGTGAGTGTTCTGCAGCACCACATTACCTGCCCATGGACACACTGATGGAGCCAGGTACATTCTGACACTGGGCGGGAACTGACTAACTGCCACCGACATCCCCAGTGATGCTAATACAGTGATCAGTGCTAATAAAAAAGCACTAACACTGTACTAATGACACTGGGCAGGAAAGGGCTAACATCTGGGGTGATCAAAGGGCTAACTGTGTGTGTTTTAATATGTAAACATGCTACTGTGTATTTCTCTGCTGTGAAGAGAAATTCACAGCAGCATGTCCTTGCTGGCAGGAGAGAGACCTGTGTTGTTTACACACAGATCTCTCCCCGTCAGTCTTGTTCCTTGGCGATCGCCAGGTGCCGGTGATCAACATATGTAGCCGGCAATGGTGGGACAGGTAGGGTGGCACGTGCGAGCAACCCCTTTCCGGAAATGCAAAGTCATGTGTATATATATACATGATTTTGCACAGCCCTGCTGCCCTGTAGCAGTAGTTCTACTATAGGGCGGTTGGAAAGCGGTTAAAGCTAAAGTTTAGGTATGGCTTTTTTGCATAGCTATTTCGATCCAACTTGGACCAACGTAGTATGCCTGCTCCATACCTGGATCCATGTGTAAGATGGAAAACTCAGTGATCACCAAGAGCTTTCAGGTCCTGTGCCCAGTGGTTTCCCTGCAGCTTAGTGAAAACTGGAGGTCACTTGCTCAGTATGGGTACCATTCAGTGATCACAAAGCGTTCTTTGATTGACTGAGGTGCAAAGGCGAGGCTCCAGGTTCAGGTCATCCAATCAGAGAATGCATTTCTTCCACTGAGAAAATGCAAAGTGTTCTCTGAATGGTGCCTGTGCTGAGCAAGCAACCCCCTGTGTTCACTAAGCTGGACCAATGTAACCATGCACAATAGTTACATGAAAGAACAAAACAGGGTGCACTCCCTTCGTACATTACCATAATAATGTGAAATGTATTTAAAAAAGCAAAAACATACTCACAAGCCAAACAGGTCATAAAACCTGAGACAAGAAGTCAAAGGATGCCAGTCGTGGACAGCTTGGGTCCTCGGGGTAAAGTGCTAACGCATTTCGGGAGTCAAACTCCTTTCCGCAGAGCAGTAGATCGACCCCCGAGGACCCATGGGGGTTTATTTACTAAAGCTGGAGAGTGCAAAATCAGACTCACTTCTTCATAGAAACCAATCAGCTTCCAGGTTTCATTGCCAAAGCTTCATTGAACAAGCTGAGGTTAGAAGCTGATTGGTTTCTATGCAGAAGGGAGTCTGATTTTGGACTCTCCAGCTTTAGTAAATAAACCCCATGCTGTCCACGACTGGCATCTTTTGACTTCTTGTCTCAGTTTTTAGGATCTTTTTGGCTTGTATGTTTTTGCTTTTTT